GAGGGATATACCTGCAATAAACGTTATTGATTAGAGGAATAAAGATTAGAGGAATTCACCATAGGAAAGGAGAATTGCTACCAGTTAACTACAAAGCAAAAGTCTGGATTCAGAAATATTTTATGATGAAACATCAATTCCAGGAAGGCAGTTCTGCCCTTCATCCCTAAGAAAAAAAGAAAGAAAAAGTAACTGCATGAACCAAATGACCCTCCACTGATTATTACCAAGTACATAAAGCAACTGAAGCTGAAGACAGTGTGAGATGGCTATAAGGAAGAAGTCTGGAATTAAAAATAGGAACTGCTTAAAAGAAAGGACTTTTTTAAAAAAACAAAATCTTCTTCTTCGTTTTTTTGCTGATTTGCCCAAAAAAAGGGTAAAATCACCCCATTTTCCCAGAAGTTCAATAGAGCCACTGCCAGCCTTTTTTATTCAGATCAGTCAGGGTTACCTCAGTCTGTTTTTTTAAAATCAACATCTGTTGTCGATAATATCCCTTTTAGGCGCAAATCAGTCAGCCCAAACTAGTCGGTCAGCATGAAGAGTTCTTTTTGTTCTTCAGATGTTCTTATAAAAACAAGGACAGTTTAAAAAGGAAGGAAATACCCTTCCCGTTGCTAAAAAGGCTCATCTTTCCACCAAAAGCTCTGCTGTTTGGAATTTATAGGCCAATTTCATTCCTCAGCTAAGCAGATAACCGAATTTTTGAAAAAAGTCTTTTGGTCTGAAAAGTGTGACAGGAATTGGATTATTTCCCTAAGGGAAGAATTAATCAAACCGTGTACGGTGATGTAGAGATTGGACAGTTGTATGGTCATCCTTAAGATCAAGGATGTCCAAACTTGGCAACTTTAAGACTTGTGGACTTCAATTCCCAGAATTCCCCAGCCAGTCATGCTGGCTGGGGAATTCTGGGAATTGAAGTCCACAAGTCTTAAAGATGTCGACATTGGACACCCCTGTTCTAGATGATAAAGAATCCTCTTCATAAAAAGGCAGAATCCAATTTTGGTGCCAACACAACCACATTTTTAATTCTGAAGAACTAAAGTAAAAGAAGGAAGATTACATATCCAAGTCTTAGCAACCAACATGAAAGTGATTTGCATCCTTCTAGGGGTTTTTTTTCCTCCCCTCTCTAGCAAATTTATGACTGGGAATTTTTTTGGTAGTTCTCTTATCCTAGCATTAACTAATTCCAACCCTTGACTGAAAAAGAATCCAAAATTAAATTGGTACTTAACCCTTTGATTGGTCCTAGTAAGGCTAGTCATGAGTGGCTGTAAATGGTACCTTTGATTTTTCCCAAAATACCCTTTCACCTCCCACAGACCAAGATGGCACATACTTTTATTTCTTCCACATGAAAATTGTTGTTTTTTTTCTGTTAAGTTGCAAAAACTGGAGTAGTCTGTTTCTCTGTTTCTTCCTTTAGTAGGTGTGTACCTCTCAGCCAGTCGTTGATGGATGTAACATGCTAAAGTTATGAATTAACTTGAAGGTTCTGTTGTTAAAATCTGGGACTTAGAAATTGTCTCTCTGTTCAAAATAAACATATCTGTCTGAATTTCTGCCAGACTGTATATACTAAACCTGGATTCGTGGGTTGCATCAGCTTTATAGAACCACAACACAACATTCTTAGAGTTCTCCTTTCCCTTGACACATTCACTTTTCCTTCTTAAATATGTTCTTTATTCATTCACAAATAAATAACAATAAGGGAACATCACACATTCTTGTTTTGCTCTCTGTTTGGTGTTGAACCATTTGCTAAGCATTCCAATTATTCTCATACAATTATTCACTTGCATCAACTACCACTTTTACCACACTCATTAACTGACTTCCAATTCAAATCCGATCATGTGCTTTTTCTCAAGTCTTCTCCGCATACCACCTACACAGTAAAAAGTCACTTTGTACTTTCCAAATGTGGCTTTTGTCACCTGCATTCATTTGCAGTCAGAATTGTGCCAAACGCCTTTTGTATATTTGTCCAACTAATCCCTTGTTTGCATTTGTTCACACAATTGTTGCAATGTTCTTTTTGCACACCTCCAATAGTTGCCATCAAATTGTTATTTTTAGCATAGAGAAAATCAAATGTCCATTTAGATAAGATCAAATATATTTTTTAAAAAATCCCAGGGTGATTTTTTTCTACTTCTTGGACCAAACTCTCCCACCTTAAGGCCTTTGTATTTATTGATTTGTGCTGGACGATGAATCGTATTTATATTTCACTGTTGCTTTATGGGAACTTTGTGTGACCAAAGCATTCTTTCCTTCATATATTTATTCTCATCATAATAATGTAAACAGTGACTAATCCCCTAAGAGATTGGAATTAAGGCTCCCTGGTGCTATTCAGCAGGCTAAATTTTATCCCATTCGGAGTCTCATTTATTCTTTTTGCTGTTAGGAACTTGAAAAATTATGTAGCTCTTCTCCAATTAAGAACCTTTATTTTACAAAACAAAACCGAAACCAAAATGAAACAACTTGTTTCGATAATCTTTGAGATTCTGAATTCCACTGATTTCTAAGAACTGGGTATGTTTTTCAAAAAAGAGCCAAGCCGTCCATGTCACAGAAGCTGTTCTTTTCAAAGCAGTGGTTAAGAAACATTTTATTCATCCCTACACCCGAGTCCATTCTTGATACCCTACCCCCAAGTGATGAATCAGGGAACGACATTTGATTCTTTCCCTTCTACTGTAACCACACACACAGATAAAATGTACAAATAGCACATGTGTTATTAGTGTGTGTGTTTTTAACGGAAGTAGAAAAGAGGTAACCTATATCATACTTTGGACTCTCATGTGTTGACATAAGGTACTGAGAGATTCAGCCAACTGCTAACTAGCGCCCAGCTAGTTGCCTGGCTTAGAGCAATTAAAATACCTTTCTAACAGTTGCCTTAAGAAGCTCAAATAAAACCCTTCCTAGCCTGAATTCACACACTGCACAACAAAGCCAAAGGTTGGCTTTGCTTGTTCTAGGCTGGGTCAAGTAAGCTCAGCCCTTTTGGTTTGCAAACCAAGATTCATGGTATAGTTCAGTGGTGGCAAACCTATGGCACGAGTTCCAGAGGTGGCACTCGGAGCCCTCTCTGTGGGCACGCGTGCTGTCACCCCAGACCCGCCTCCCCCCACGCCTCCCTCCTCACCAGCAGCCCCCCTGGAGGAGAGTCGCCCCAGGCGTGGCCCGCACGGAGCAGCACAGCCAAGTACATAGCCGGGCAACAGGGACAAGACTCTGCCCTCGCACCCTATAGCATGCAGATGATGCTGAGGGGTGTGGGCTGAGGGCGTGGCTGCCATGGTGCTGCAGGGCTGCCTGGGCGATCTACTGCGACGGGCCATGGATGCAGTGGGCTGGGCCTATGGGCTGGTGGGGCAGGGGCGGAGCAGATAGGGTGGGAGACGGAGGGGGGGCAGGGGTGGTTTTGGGGCACTCGGTCTCTAAAAGGTTCGCCATAACTGGTATAGTTTGTTGTTGAACCCAGGTAGGACATATTGAACAATATATGGTTAAATAAAATGTACTGAGAGCAATATATCAGTTGGGTCCTTGTCTTAAGGGAACCCACATAGTGTGCATTACACCAGAGCTTTTCAACCTTTTCACCCATTGTACCACTTTTAGGATATGGCAATATCCGAGTACCACCAGCTGCCTAGCAAGGTGTCAAAAATATGATGACCCCCCCCCAAAAAGAAAAAATGAGTAGAACAGATAGTCCTCGACTTACAACAGTTCGCTTAGTGACTATTCACAGTTACAATGGCACTGGAAAAAGTGCCCCCCAAGCCACAGCCAAGCAAGATGTCTGCCCACCCGCTGCGCTCTTCCTCCTGTTGGATGTTTTCATTGTTCTGAGCATTTCTGTTGAGGATTGGCAGCGGGGGTGGGGTAGGGGGGGTATTTGGTTTTTATTCCCCTGTCTGCTGGATGATTGCAGCAGGTTTTGGTCACTTCACATGACCCTAGGATGCTGTGACCGTCATAAATATGAATCAGTTGCCAAGCATCTGAATGTAAATCACAAGACCCTGGAGAGGCCACAACATTCCAGCTGATTGAAGCTGCTTCAGCTTCAGGGCTCAGCAGTAGCACCAGGATCAGTGCCAGCTCCAGCTGCAGCCTGGCGCTGATCCTGGTGCTTCCGCTGAGCCCTGACAGCCCTGCAGCTCCAGCCATCTCTCGCTCAGGCTTGTGAGATGCTGCCACTGGTTCAGCTCAATCCCCTCCCCGGCTACCACTTTTCTAGGATGGTTGCGTACCACCTGCCAGGTGCCAATGTACCACAGGTGGTACCCATACCACTGATTGAAAAGCCCTGCATTACACTACTTGATTGTGAGCATGTTTTTATCAATTGCAAATGCATTCTTCTTACAGTAGGATATGTACGTACTATAAGTATGAGGTGCTCTCTGAGCTTTTTTTTTTTTTTCTGGCAGACGTTTCACTCTCCAAACTAGGTAACAACATCAGCGATACTGACTGCGGACTAGCACTGATGCTTGGGTAATGAAAGATCTGCAAGGGAAAAAAAGAAAAAAAAAAACAAGCTCAGAGACCACCAAGGACCCCTCATTTCAACCCCGAGTTATAAATGATCATTGGAAAGGGCTCTTAGAACACAAAACACCGCAGAGGCAGGCAGGGGAGCGGGCGGTTCAGCCCGTTGGGGGGGGGGAGACCGAGGTTCACGCAAACCGTGGGGGGGGGGGCTGCGTTGGGCACCTGGCAAGGCAAGGCGGCCTCCACGAGTGCTGGAGACCTAGTCCCCGCATCTCCTCCGCGTGTCTCCCGTTCACACGTGCCCTACAGCCGCAGCCCGCAGCGCCTCCCGAGCGTCCCTCTGGCCAGGCGGGGCGGCGGGGAAGGGCTGCGGCGGGGGCTGCGCGGGGGGCCTCGGCTAAGAAGGGGAGGTCGGTCTTGCCCGCGGCGCCTCCCCCCGTCTTGCCGGCAGCCCGAAGGTTTTCTCCTGCGTCGTCAGGATGTCCCCACCCTCGCCCGCATCCCTTCCTATCAGGATCCATCCGTCCCACGCCCCTTTTGGGGTGTGTTTCCCCCCACCCCCCTTATTTTCCCTTTACGAGCATCGGAGGGAGAGAAGCAGGCAGGCGCTCTTTGTCTCTGACCCCGGAGAGGCCGGCCAGACAGGGCGGGCAGGTCCCCGCCGCACCGCTTCCTCGCGGGGAAACCGTCTTCTGCTCGGCGCGGCCAGGTGGTCGTTGGGCTCTTGCGCTCGTCGCCCCTTCTCTTCCTCCTCCTCCTCGCGGGCTAGGTCCCAGGTCCTCGACAGGTGGGTAGATCGGATGCTCGCTTTCCACCGGGCTGCCCTTCTTTTCCCTCCTGTGTATCTGTAACCTCTGCGCTCCCTCCCTCCCTCCGTGCCCCTCTCCAGGGCGCCCGGTCCTGTTGTAGCCCCAGCAACTCTGAATATTGGGGATACCATGTGCTTAACCTCCTGCCTCCACACACACACACACACACACACACACACCTCTCCCCCGCGCCGCTGCCCACGCTTTCTCCTTCTGCAGGCACCGCCAAGATCTGGGTGCAGTCCCGAAGGATTGGCAGCTGGTGTTTGTAAAGGAGGATGGTTTGACTTGATTTCTCCCCGTTGCCTTGTCTTAGCCAGCCCTTGTCCTTCCCTTGATTTCCTGCTGCCTTTCTGTGCTCTTAAACCCTCTCCACCAACCTGGAGGGGAGAGAAAAAAAAAAAAAAAAGGGAAACAGCAAATCACCCACTTTGGGATGCATGCAGTAGTTTATCTGACCTGAAATGCAGCTTGCAGTGACTGCAGTCTGCAAGCTGCAGTCCTTTGCTCCCTTCCCTGGGGGGTAACCCCTGATGAAGCCGGTATAAGATGGTGCTATTAATATTTTTCTCCTCCCTAAGCCTAGCTCTCTGTGCTAAAAGCTTGCTTTCCTGCATCATTCAAGCATAGGCACTTTTTGCAAGGCTTCACCTGCCCTGGAGTGAGGCCAGCTTCATTTGCTTGTGTTTTTCAGTGTGCTCCTCATTGCAGCCCAGTAAAAACCTTAGAGTTGTCTTCATAATCCCAGTCCTTAGAAGCAAACTGTTTGTGGGTGGGGGTGTGCCCCTTATTTCAGATATTTCCATCCTGCAGCCGTTAATCTTGGAAAGTCTTAGTGGTGTGGATGGTGGTGATAAGGATTTCTTTCTTTCTTGCATGTTGCAGGCAGCCTAAGGACTCTCCAAAGCCATGTGCTTGCTATTGTTTCAGTAGTGAAGTGCCCCTGAGTATGAGAGATGGGTGTGCGCAAAAGTGTGCAAAAAGTGGGAATAGTTATAGTGCAGGGAGTGCCATGGGTCAGAAAAAGAGGAAAGAGCATCTTTTAATTCGGGTTAATTTTGTTCTTAGAAACAACTGACAAAGGAATAGGGCGGTTTAGATGCCACCGTTGGAATGGGGGTTGGATATTCTCCTTCCCCATGTCTGACTGTCAACCAACTTCCAAAGCTACAGTCAAGCATCCTCCAGAGAATCTAATGGGGGGGGTGGGTAGAACTTTGCTCCTGAAAATGAGGTGATCTGAAACTATTCTTGGGTTTCTTCCACCAGCTTTCCAAATGCTGGCAACATCCAGATGTGCTGGGACGGCAGCTCCCAGAATTCCTAACTGGTGTGGCCCTTGCTAAGAACTTTGAGAGATCATGTCCATACATCTGGAGGGGGGACAGGGCTGGGGCAGGCTGTCCTGGGTTATGGCACTTGAGACCTCTAGGTGTGCATCAGCAATCAAATACCTGGCCTGTCTATTTCAGTCCAGCAGATTGGGCAAGTTGGGGATCCTATCAGTTAAAGAATGTTGATTGGCAGGGAGCAGAAGAAAGCCACTCTGTGGAATATCCCCCCTTCAGAGATTAGAGCAGTGGTTCTCAACCTTTCTAATGCCGTGACCCCATAATACAGTTCCCCATGTTGTGGTGACCCCCAAGTGGGTGTGGCCACCAATAAGAGGGAGTAGGACAGCTAGGGAAAAGGGAAAAAAATGGCGGACAGTGTGGTTTGGCGACCCCCGTGAAATGGTCATTTGACCCCAAAGGGGGTCCCGACCCACAGGTTGAGAACCACTGGATTAGAGTGATCCCAACCCTAAAAACTGTAAAAACTTGGATACGTGTTCAAATCTGGAGTTCTGAAAGTATTAAGAACCCTGTCTATTCGTTTTACTGTTAAATCGGATGCTGTATATATCTATTTTGTACTGTTTTTATTGGTTCTAAATGTCTGTGGTGGCTCAGTGGTTAGAATGCAGTGTTACAGGCTGACTTTGCCCACTGCCAGGAGTCCAGTCCTGATTGCTCCAGGTCGAATCAGTCTTCCATCGTTCCAAGTTCAGTAAAATGAGGACCCAGATTGTTGGAGGTAAACATATAAGGAACAGTTGCTGGAATTGGGTATATCTAGTTCAGTGGTTCTCAACCTTTTTAATGCCGCGACCCCTAACCGGTCGTAAGTCGAGGACTACTCAACTGGTCGTAAGTCGAGGACTACTCAACTGGTGCAGCACCGTTTGCAGAATGGGACTTTTGGCGGGCTCAGCAGGGCAGAGACAGCCTGGACAATTCCTATTGGCTTTTGAAAGCCAATAGAATTAGACTCTATTCAAGAGAGTCTATTCTATTGGCTTTCAAAAGCCAATAGAATAAAAGGGAGTAGCACAGCTAAGGAAAAGGGGAAAAAAATGGCGGACTGCGTTGTTTGGCGACCCCCGTGAAATGGTCGTTTAACCCCAAATGGGATCCCGACCCACAGGTTGAGAACCACTGATCTAGTTTAATGAAGAGAAAGACTAGGGGGGACATGATAGCAGTGTTCCAATATCTCAGGGATTGCCACAAAGAAGAGGGAGTCAAGCGATTCTCCAAAGCACCTGGAGGCAGGACAAGAAGCAACAGATGGAAACTAACCAAAGAGAGAAGCAACCTAGAACTAAGGAGAAACTTCCTGACAGTTAGAACAATTAACCAGTGGAACAACCTGCCTCCAGAAGCAGTGAATGCTCCAACACTGGAAGTTTTAAAGAAGAAACTGGACAGCCTTTGTCCGAAATGGTATAGGCTTTCCTGCCTGAGCAGGGATTGGACTAGATGACCTCCAAGGTCACTTCCAACTTTATATTATTGATCATCGCACAGTCAATCAGATGTTCAGACTGGATTTGGCATTTTGTCTACCTATCGAGTCCTTACCCAGGACCTGGGATAGGCAGATGTGGATGTTTGATGGTATTACAGATATCGTCGCAGGATGGAAGCAGTTCCTAATAAGGCCGCCTTTTGAAATTGACTAATAGCGAATTTGTCAATGCCAATGGTGTTCAAGTGGTGCTCCAGTTGTTTTGGGATTGCACCCAAGAAGCCTCTTACTATTGGTACTACCCTTGCTTGCTTTTGCCACAGTCTTTCTATTTCTATTTGTAGGTCTTTGTATTTTGTTATTTTCTCCAGTTCTTTCTCTTCTATTCTGCTATCTCCAGGCACTGCCACATCCACTATCTGGAAGTTTTAAAGAAGAAACTGGACAGCCTTTGTCCGAAATGGTATAGGCTTTCTTGCCTGAGCAGGGATTGGACTAGATGACCTCCAAGGTCACTTCCAACTTTATATTACTATTATTATTATTATTATTATTATTATTATTATTATTATTATTATTATTATTATTATTATTATTACTATTAATGTGCTGACACTGTAAATCGCTTAGAGAGGGCTGTAAAGCACTGTGAAGTAGTATGTAAGTCTTAAGTGCCATTGCTCTTGCTATTTAGAATTATAAGCTGGCCAGAGTCATCCAGTTGAGGTGGGGGTATGAACGATCAATCAAACAAACAAATAAATAAGGGGCTTGCACACTATAAAAAGGGACTCAGGATAAAAAGAGGGGTGGAAAAAAAGGCAGGGATAAAAGGAAAAGAACTGTTGCTGCAATTGCTGTTTAAGCTTATGGAAACATCTTTACAGGAAAAAAAACACATCTTTTTGTGCTTATAATTATGCATCTCCATTTGTCCACTTTATTATGCTTCAGTTTGCAATACTGGACACAAGGAAGGATTTCCCTTGCCCACACCCTTTCTTTGTTCTCTGATTGTGGGAGTGGACTTTTTTTAAAAATAGGGATAGTGGAATATATTTAGCATAGGATGCTGGCTTTCTCTTTGGGGTAAATAAATACGTTGTCTTTGTATACTTAAGGCTGTACTGTATGTACTTTTTTTAAATTCATAATTTGTGGTTAGAATATGGGTTACAGTTCCAAACTTCCTATCTTTTCCAAGGTTGCCTTTTGATTTATACGCCAACAATAGCTAAGATGATGAAGGATTTTCAACTGTATTTTTTTGTAGAAAACGAGACACCTGGGGTGACAGTGGTTTCATTCTAGTTCATGTCCAAACTCTTTGATAAGTTTAAAGATAGAAAAAGAAAAGGAGAAATTGCCATAGATTTGTATCTACTATCTGAGCAGAAGGAAGATGAGAAAGGGGGGGGGGAGAGAAAGAAAGAGAAAATTGAAAAGAGAAAGAGTAATCTTGCAAAAAGGTGAATGTTCTGAGGAAGCAGAACATTGTGTTGGGCCAAAGATTTAGACAACATCTGTCTCCACCTGTTTGTGACTGTATATAAAGTCACTACTGAGTAATTGAGGGTTGGATCATCACAAATGCCAGAGCACAATCTTTTCATGTCTTCAATCCCATTTTGTTCCACAGAGTTGGAAGGGACCTTGTAGGTCATCTAGTCCAACCCCCTGCTCAAGCAGGAGACCCTCTACCATTTCTGACAAGTGGCTGTCCAGTTTCTTCTTGAAAGCTTCCAGTGATGAAGCACCCACATCTTCTGGAGGCAAACTGTTCCACTGGTTAATTGTTCTCACTGTGAGAAAAGTTCTCCTTATTTCTAGGTTGAATCTCTCCTTGATCAGTTTCCATCCATTATTCCTTGTCTGGCCTTCAGGTGCTTTGGAAAATAGGTTGATCCCCTCCTCTCTGTGGAAGCCCCTCAAATATTGGAACACTGCTATCATGTCACCCCTCGTCCTTCTCTTCACTAGACTAGCTGTGCGCAGTTCTTGCATGGACATGCCCAGTTGTGTGTCTTCATACCTGCAGATACCGATCATCAGAGGCTGGTCCTAGAAGACATGTACATCCTTTTGACTTTGCACACAATTCATGGCAGGGGAATATTTAAATCCCTGTGAAGGCCCTGTCTCTAATGAACTGATGCAGTACCAGGTGAAGTTCAAATTTGTGATCCAGTTTAAAAAAAGCACCCCAAAATCCAGCGAGCTGCTGCTGGCTACATTCATGAAGGATTCAGTGAAACAGCATTAATAAAGCAGCCTATATCTATCCAATCATTTTGTTCTATGTCTCCCACAGTGCATTGCTGTGGACAGTGGTAGGTGCAGTCAGTGGGATTGAAGTTCAGACATCTGGACAGTTCCAGGTTCTTGCTGTTTGTGTTCAGTTGTCATATGTGCAGAAAACACATGTCTGTGCACAGGGGAACTGGTCATTTAAGCCAGGGGTCTCCAACCGTGGCAACTTTAAGACTTGTGGACTTCAACCCCCAGAATTCCTCAGCCAGCTTTGCTGGCTGAGGCTGGCTGAGGAATTCTGGGAGTTGAAGTCCACACGTCTTAAAGTTGCTAAGGTTGAGGACCCCTGTTTTAAGCTTGCCTTAGATCTGCAAGGCAAACTGCCGGCAATGCAATGCAGCCTATTGAAGCCACGCTCACCCCATTGCCAGCAATGCAAAAAGAGTCGTGATATGTCACAACACGTCACGTGACATGGCGAGTTTGACACCCATGTCCTAAGATGTCTGCCTCTTTTTTTCCCCTGGATTATTGACTTTCAAAGCATGTCTTGGATATTGTAACTGACATGTGGTTTTCTGTCTAGCAGGCTGAGAGCAAAGTGTGACTTTCCATAAAGCATCATATATGCTGAAGCTCTTGCACATTAGAAGGTAAGTTTTCCCTATAACGCTGAAGATGTTAAACCACACGGCTACTGGAGCTTTCCAAAAAGAAAAAGACAGACGTACCAAATTTATGGATAAAAGCTTTTTCTTTTGATAAGAATAGCAGCTCTGTTTATTGTCCTCTGTTTTTCCTGGTCTTGTAAGCCTCAATAGTCAAAACCTGTCATGTGTAAGATCTGTATAAAGTAATGAAACAAATTAATCACAACAATTTTAAGTTTCATTGCTTTGCATGGCACTTAGGATAGACTCTACTGCATTAGTCTTATCTAGAAGCCTCAATCATTGTATTTGCATGATCTACTAAACAGGATTAGAGTTAACCATGGTTAAGGTGCTTGCTTGATGAACTTGCCCCAAATTACACACCAAACTGGGTAGGAATGTAATTGGACTATGCCCTTTTAAGCAATATAGTTACTGTGAGGTTCATTTCTCAAAAATGCTTCTAAAACCTACCTTGGATTTATATGATTATAGCCAGAGCCTTTGCATGTGGGAAGGAAATGCTGATTGTTCCCCTGCCTTTTTGTTTTAACAACAAAGTCAATGTGTGACAGTACAGCAATTAGAACAGAATAATAAGAGGGAGCAGCAGAAAAGCAGCTTTGCCGCAAGTCTTGTTCCTTGTTTTGTGTTCCTGGAGGAATAATGGCTGCTTAATCATGAATTAACCACTAATGTGGGTTTGGATAACATGCCGGTCTATGTGGTTAACATAAGATAATCATAAAACAATCTGTTATTACAGGTAGGAGTTAAGGTGGTCCTTAACCATACTCTAGATTTAGGCAACACGCTGAGCTAATCTGCAGGCTACTTTACTTTGTCATCTGAACTGGGTCAATGTCTCTTATCTAATTTTGCTTTTTATAACCCTCCAAATAATTTCAAAGGAAGCATATTGTGCAGTCAGAATAAATTACCGAGGGAGAAATCACAGCTCTCAAATGACTGTGATTGTGTGAGATTGGCAATGTTCGGAGCTTTAAATATTGCGTGTGTTTGCTTTTTGGCATAGTATCTAGGGACTTTTAAGGCTGAGCTAAAGTGTTCCTGGAACTTCTTTCTTTTTTGTTTTTCTTTTTTTTTTTAAAAAAAAATGTGAGTGCAGTTTTGTAAACTGGTAGTGGGTTTAATATCCCCAGTCTGTCAAATGGAATGGATTGGCTTGGTGCGATAGTTCAGAGAGATGTTGTTGTGTGAGAAATAGGAAGAAGTATGGTGAACGATGCCATGACTTGTACAAAAGGCATTATTTCAATTGATCAATGTGACAAGCCTTGAATCACTTCTTTTCTGGAATTAAGATAAAACTAATAAATGATTTGTCATTATGTAGTTGGCACTTGTGGAGAAATCTGACTCACATATTGTTTATTCTGTAGTGTTTATTCTTCCCTGCCTTCTGCAATTTCCTTAATTTGGAATTCCAAGCTGGATTGTAAACTCTCAGGGCTTCTCAACCTTGGCAACTTGAAGATGTGTGGACTTGCAAAATTTCCCAGCCAGCATGCAAATGTAGGGACATTTTGAATTGGAGGAAGAATATGTGAAAACACAGCTGCCAGTTCTTTAGCTGTGTTGGCCTTCATGTGCATCTTCCCAAGAACCCAGCATGTATCAGCACAATAGATGCTGTGTGGACTTTTGCAATTGACAGATGGAAATTTTGTCAACGCCCAGATTTTCTAAATGCCACCCGAGATTTTTGGATATGGCACCCAGGGTGCTGATAAACCCTGCGACCACCACAGCCGATTTATGCCATAGTCTTTCAGTTTTGATTTTCAGATCCTGATACATTGTGATCTTCTGCAATTCATTGTCTTCTGTTCTACTAGCTCCTGGTATTGCCACATCAATCCATACTTTCTTCTTTTCAGCCTCAATTATATTGGGGTTATAATCCTACACTATTTTAACCTTCTCATTTTCAACTATACCTTCCCACCAATTTTTCATTAGTGGTACATGATAAATTTTTATAGATGTTCCAGTGAATCCGCTTGCGCAATCTTCGTGCATAAATTAAGTATGTGATCTGTTTCTTCTGCTTTTTTGCGCAATCTGTACTTTGAATTCTTTGATGATTTTTCAATTCTGGCCTTGATTGCATTAGTTCGGATAGCTTGTGCTTATGCAGCCAAAATCAAGCCATCCGTTTCTATTTATAATGTTCCAGTTGTAAGCCAGATTTTATCTTTATCCACTTTCCCCTCGATGTTTTGTAGAAATTGACCACGTGATGCTTTTCCTTGCCAGCATTCTTCATCCTGATGGCTTCTGATGCTTCGGTGTTTGGGGTTTCAATTCTATTACTGTTTGTGATTTTACCCTAATTTATAGCAAGAGCACTTAGACTTATATACTGCTTCATAGTGCTTTACAGCCCTCTCTAAGCAGTCAGCATATTGCCCTCAACAATCTGGGTCTTCATTATACTAACCTCGGAAGGTGGAAGGCTGAGTCAACCTTGAGCCGGTCATGATCGAACTCCTGGCAGTGAGCAGTGACTTAGCCTGCAATGCTATCTGCTGTAGTACATTGCTCTAAGCCAAATTCTATTGTTATATCTATGCTAAAAATTCTTAGGTGTTTGTCAGTGTCTGGATAAGTGTCCTATTTTCCATACAGCTTCAGATAAACCATGCAAAGCAAATGTGAGATTTTATTAGCATTTTTACTATTTGATGGCCAAGATTAGTTTTCTTCCAAATTGCAGAAAGTGGGACTATAGCAATGACAAATAATAAAAGTGATAATGAGTCACCCTAGAACATGGGTATCAAACTCGCTGCGTCACGTGACGCGTTGCGACGTATCACAACTTTTTTTGCATTGCTGGAACTGGGATGGGTGCGGCCTCCACATGATGCAACTGGCCCGTGGGCCGGCAGTTTGATACCCTTGCCCTAGAACAGTGTTTCCCAAACTTGACAATGTTAAGGCATGAGGACTTCAACTCCCAGAATTCCACAGCCAGCAACGCTGGCTGTGGAATTCTGGGAGTTGAAGTCCACATGCCTTAAAATTGTCAAGTTTGGGAAACACTGCGCTAGAAGATGCATCTAATGTTGACAAACCCATATTTTTCAGTTCCATCATTAATTCTATCTTCCATTGCTTGATTTTTTTCTATAAACACTCTAGTTTTTATTGACAAAAGTGATTTCCAAACATTTGATGATCCAACTATGTGGTAATAAATCAAATATCTTTTATAAATCAATCCCGACCATATGTAAATTGTGTTTTTTCCCCATTTTTCCCTTTTGTTTTCTTTCTGTTTTACTGGAAGGACATTATTTTCTTCTAAATAATCTTGGATGTTGTCTGCTATTATGCCTGTGAGTAATTTAAACATTGTAGGCAAGAATGTTATCGGCCTATAATTTCCTGGTGTTGTCTGTTTTGCTAGATCTTTTTGAATTAAGTTATTAACCAGTCGCTGATATCTCCTTTATGCAATATTTAATTAAGTTGTTTTAACTATAATTGGACTCAAGCTAGTCAGATATTTGAGCCAAAAGCCATGCAACCGATCATTTCCAGATGTCCAATTTTTATTCTTTTTCACTCAATTTTTAACCATTCCTGCTGTTGTTATTAGATTTTCCATTTGATTTTTTACTAAATCCATCTTCAAATTCTTTTATTCATCCTACATTTTGTTATAGCCTTTTTAAATTTCCCATAAACCTTTCTAGGACTGGATTGTTTCCTTTATTTGGTTTTCTATTTTCATAATTTTTATTGCCACTTATGGTAGAATTACGTCTGGTTTCATTGAAGTAGTTGATTTTGCTTAAACTGGATGATTCATGCCTCATAGCATTCAAATTTCTCTGCTGTTTGTTGCTTTATGATTTTATCTGTTTATTTATCAAATTAAAACACTGCCCATCTCATTAGCCAAATGATTCTGGTCAGTTTACAGATTTCCAAAGCTTCTTCAATTTTTCTGGTGCCAATATATTTTTATAAGGCTTATCTTGATTTTTATATTCCTCAGTTTTTGCTCTTTCATGTTCTGTACATTACTTGCATATGATCTTAATGTCTTTATTTTGGCTTCCAGTCTAATCTTCCACTTTGGAACAGAATATGTATTTGCTTTTTGTCTATATAATTTCAATATACAATTCTTATGTAATCACTACTGCAGGGTAGGGAAGCTTATTAGTCTGCAATAGATGTTATTTTAATCCTTGCAAGCACTTTATTCAATCCTTGATTATAGATGACAGGTGTTTGGGGGGCACTAATTTCAATGCTTGCAGTCTTTGTCAATCTGGTAATTCTGCCTATGCTAAAATGTTCCCTTTTAATTATTCTTTCTTTGTGTGAATTCATAGGTTGTTTCAAATGATAGCCTGTTCTTGTTCCATTGTTAATACTTCTAAATTATCATTTCTGTAGTTTATATCAGCTCTTTCTTTTACATTTGCAGTTGTTGCTATCTAAGATATTTCTACTATTCTACTATTAATGTTGGTGTTCCATTTTTATAATTTTCTGAACCAGCTTTGCATCCCTGAATATCTTATTTCTGGTAATGAATCTCCTTTGATCTGCTAATGGTTGTTCAGTGATATTTGAATCTGGATAAATTCTTTTCCAGTGTATAGTCGCTTTAAATACCCCTGCTCTGTTGGTTCCAATTTATAACACAAGTAGTCCTTGAATAACAACCATCCGTTTAGTGACAGTTTGAAATTACAACAGTACTGAAAAATGACTTGTGACCGTTTTTCACACTTATGACCATTGCAGCATTCCCATGATCATGTGATCAAAATTGGGGAAATGGCCACTGGCATGTATTTATGACAGTTGCACAATCCCTGGGTCATATGATCACCATCTGAAAACTTCCCAGCTGGCTTCTTACGAGTATAGTAAACGGGGGAAGCCAAATTTGCTTAATGACCACATGATTCACTTAACAATTGCAGTGTTCACTTAACAATTGTGGCAAAAATGTAAAATGGGACACAACTCATTCTCTTGCTTAGCAACAGAAATTTTGGGCTCAATTGTCATAAGTCGAGGACTACCTGTAGGTCATAATGGCATGGTTTTCCAACAGAGTATTGTTTTTGTCTTGTGTGTGGTTGTTCTAAGAGCTAGGCCTTGGTTGCCCAGCCATTGTTCCTGAAACCCGTTGCCTACTTGTCAAGAGATGGCCAGGAATGTAACATCTGATCTGGTTCTTGTTGAACCTTGGGATGACTGATCCAATATAAGATTCTTTTTCTGTTTTCATACCATATTAAATGGGTTGAGAGATAGACCCAATCTGGCTCTTCCACTGAAATCTGGCTCGCATGGGTGACCCTTCTAGTAGAATAGACTACAGCCAGCATACCTCTAAATCTCATCAGTGCATCACAAATTCCTCCCTGACAACAAGAGGATATCCCTGGAAGGGGTTAGTATTATTATTATGGTTTATCATATAGCCAGATATTTAGAATGGATTTGGTATATTTATCCATCTATCGAGGCCTTCCCAAAGACCTGGGATAGGCAGATGTTGTTATTTGATGGTGGTGTTAAAGGTCTCCTTGCTTGGAGGATAAAAGTTCCAAAGTAAAAGTTATTCATTCCAAGTAAAGCTGCCTTTTACAATTGACTGATGGTAATTTGGTCAGTGCCGAAGATATTCAAGTGATAGTCCAGTTGCTTGAGGATTGCACCTAAGGCGTCTATTATTATTGGTACTATCTTTGCTTTCTTTTGCCACAGTTGATCCACTTTTGTTTGCAGGTCTTTGTATTTTGTTATCTTCTCCAGTTCTTTCTCTTCTCTTCTGCTGTCTCCAGGTACTGCCATATCCACTATCCAGACGTTTTTGTCTTTCTTATTGACAATTGTTAAGTCTAGGGTGTTGTGTTGCACTCATTTTATTTTTAATGCCTTTGAGTTATTATTGACACCTGGTGATTGCCTGGACTAGTCCCTGCAGTTTTCTTGGCAATGTTTTTCAGAAGTGCAATTGCCTCCTTCCTAGTACTAAGAGAGGGTGACTGGCCCCAGTGCCTAAGGTGGAACCAGAACTCCCAGTCTCCCAGTTTCTAGTCCGGTGCCTTAACCACTACACCAAACAGGCTAAATTATAACCCTATAGCCTTAAATTTTCTGTACTTCTGTTATGATTGGAAATAGATTTGATTTTAACACATGGATTTTATTATTTTTTAAGACAGATCAACGGTTTGCTTGTTTTTTCCTTCCTTAAAGTGAATTTTTAGGCAATATGGCACACATATTGTATGTATGTATGTATGTATGACATAAATATTTAGAAATATAACACACTGTTAGTGCTGTAGAGTACCTCATTTGCACATCCATAACATTTTTCCATGTTTGGTTTCAAAAAATGTCATTGTTTGGGCATTTGCATTCTTCCTTTGTTTTTTTATCATCTTGCTGGATGAGATGTTCTTAAGAAATTAAAAGCTTTGGCATTATTTATGAACTGGAGTCAACCTTCATGGGGATTTTTGTTTTACAATAATGGAGGAAAATTTCAGAAAGGAAAGACTAAAGAAGAAAAGACTAAATCTTACTTCTCATTGGAACCTATGCAAATTGTCAAATTAAAAAGAAAGAAAATCCCTTCATACTTAAAATGCAAATGGCATGCATTGTATGTTGTCATGGTTATATGCCCCTTTCTTCAACAGTTTTATTAATTACTTGGAGGAAGAGGTGGAAGGTATGCTTATCAAATTTGCAGTTGAGACAAATCTAGTAGGATAGCTAATATTTTAAAAATCAGAAATAAAATCCTAATACAATCTTGATAAATGAGCTGAAAACAGCACAATGAAATTAAGACTTCATTTCTTTCTTAAAACAAAAGAAAGCAAATATATAGGCATAAAATGGAAAAAGGAATGTTCTGAGTTGGTGGTACTTGTAAAAGTGTTAATCCTATAATAGTTAATTATAAAGTACATATGAGTCAGTAGTGTGAAGTAGCTACAAAAATAAAGATTTTCAGCAGCATGAATGGAAATACAGTGTACTTCAGAAATTATAGGAATTAATTGTTCCACTTTATTTTGGATTAGTGTGGCTTCAGCTGCTGAATCTTGTCCAGTTCTGGATATCACATTTTAGGAAAGATTCAGAGATTTTGGAACAGGTTTAGAAAAGACAAAAGGCATCATTAGGGAACTAGAAGCTAAATCTGAAAAGAGAGCTTGTAGAACTTGAGGATGATTAATTTTGAAAAAAAAGGACAAAGTGGAGATGATAGTATTCTTTAATTATCTGAAAAGATGTCACCCAGAAGAAGGCCAAAACTGTTCCAGAAAAACTAATTTTAGAAGACAGATTCAGCTAAAGAGGAATAGGACAAGAAAATCCTGCTGATGATATTACCTAGTCTGGTAACGAAATGTTCAAAAGCTAAATTAAAACAAGCTTGGAGAGCAAACCACCGTCAAAATATACAACCCAGGCTACAAGTATTTTCTATTATTTCAATAAAGTATCCAGGAGCTGAGCTTTATTCGAAGGAGACTTAATTTTTTTTTTGGAAGGAATGAGGGTGAAATACAACCCCACTGAAATTCAGAATGGAAAGCACGGGATTAATTGGACAGAACTTTTTTTAAGAAATGGATTATTGCAATTCTATGCTCTATTTTCTCAAGGCGCATGCAGCTCTCCTCTTATTTTATCCTCTTAACAACTGCTTAAATGAGGTGGGTTGGACTGAGAGGGAGTGGCTGGCTATCTTTCAGCAAGCTGTTGGGACTTGAACCAAATCCAACAAGTTTTCTACTCTGGCCTTTTCTGATATGTTCTGTAAATATTGTTTTTCCAGGCATCGTCTCCTTTTTAAAGGGACAAATCTGCATGGCCTAATGACATTTGGTGTAGTGATTAAAGTGCTGGCCTAACAACCAGGAGACGGTAAGTTATAGTCCCATTTTAGGCCTGAAAGCTGGCTGGGTGACATTGGGCCAATCACCAGGTGACAGTGAGTTCTAGTCTGCCTTAGGCATGAAATCCAACTTGGGCCAGTCCCTGTCTTTCACTTCAGCCCACCTCACAGAGTTGTTGTGGAGGGAAATCGGAGGAGGGAGTATTAAGTAGATTTGCCGCTTTGAGTTTCTTATAAAGCCATGAAGGTGGAATAAAAACCTAACAACTATTTCTGCATTAGACAAATTTGACAGAGCAGATTTAAGCTGAAACCTTGATCTCTGTCTTGGTGTTACAAAGTGAGCTCTGCCATCCATCCTAATTCCTATAATTGTGGTATAATAGCTGGTGGCTACATTCCCATGATTTTCTGACATGAGTCATTTGCTAATGCAAGTTAAGGAGGTCCTGAGGCTAAGAATGAAGTTGAAAACGCAAGCCTTATAACAATATATTATTGATCCGTGGCCCTGGATGAGTCTCAAAACATAGATTTTTTTAAAATTCTCTTGTAAATACTAATTAGTATCAAGACTGCAGCATTGCAGTGGTGAATGTTAAAATAGGCCCCTATTTCTAAGGCAGGTGCTACTGGAAAGAGGCTTGCAATTCTTCCTGATATAATTAAAGCAACCTCTATATGTGCAAATGAATTATGAAGGTGACTCTCTCTTACAGTAGGATAAATTAATCCTAGAGATGACAGAGTGCTGGGGTGTGCGCCATATTAAGTAATTTCCCTCATATAGAGAAAACTGTATGGGGCATTACCATTGCTAGGTTTTGTATAATTGCTTTTAATGTTTACCTGCATATTTTAAATTTGTATATAATTCAGTTTCATGTATAAATTGAATGGAAAAATAGTCAAATGAAGGGGTTAGGGTTACAGAAAAAGACTTCTGTACTGTAGCTAAGACGACAATGTGGACATGTTCACATTGAGCTTTTCTCCAAGGAGACTTAATTTTTTTTATAAGGAATGAGGGCCCAAAGTCCACCATTTAATTTGATCTACTCAATTTAAAATCTAGCCCAGTGTGAAGACAAGTCCTATCCAGATCCATTACATCTCAATTCACACTAGTATATAAAATGTTTTCCTAGTCTCCACAGAATTAACTTATGTTGCTCGATCGAAATCTCCTTTGCCTCTCTTGGTCGTGAGGCCTAAGGATTAGGGAGCTAAAATTACATTTCTTATTTTTCTTTGTTTATTAATCAAACTTTTATCTCTCAGCAAATAGATTTTTGGCAACTTACAAAAGAAGACCATTATGTCATAATACAAAATAAAAGTGCAATACTTCTAATTCCCTAAACACATTTCCAAGTGTTTCTGGAAGGTGAACGTTGGAGCCAACCAGACCTTCCATGGGAGGTCATTCCAGAAAGCCAGACCCATTATAGAAAAACACTTCCAGGCGTCAGCATCCCCGTCTCCTGAAAAAGAGCCAGCTGTTTCTCCCAGCCTCAACAAAATGGTCAGGTCAACACCAGTAGAGAGCTATGGCACATCACCCAATGCAGAGCAAAAAAGCAAGAAAGCTCTTTATAGGTTAACCACAACCTTACCAATTGCATTGTGTTATATTTATCTACTTTCCACATTGCAGCATCCATCTTCTGTGGCTGCCCGCCCCATAGCCCCATTATTATTATTTTTGGATGGAGGAAAGATACAGGTGCAACCCCCTTTCTCCTCAGGTTTAATTCCATTCTTGCACCCTGAGACAAGAAGCAGTGCAGTTGGGGTGCCAGCTTTCCAGACAGCCTCGTGATGGCCCACCTTGAACACAAGCAGACGGCAGAGAGCCCTAGAATTGCCACTGAAGTCACAAGGGATAAGTTGATGCCATCACGGCCTCAGCCAAACAGAAGGTGCAACCGATACTTTCCATGTGAGTGAGCCTACAATGAAGGCTGAGATCCAGATATGACCTCTTCTATTCTTAAACTGCTTTCCTTTCTAACTCTGCTGACTTTGTGACTCCAGGTGATATATAATAAAGCAACATTAAGATGTCCTTTAACAGGAGGGCATAGTTCTATAAAACATCCAAGTGTTGTACAGTTTAAAAGAAAAAAAATCCACAATGCCACATAAATGGGAACTGTAGAATGGGTTTTCCCTAGCTTCATGCAGTAATTCTGCTTTAGAATTTCTAAGCTAAGAAGCACATTTGGTTAGAAGAGAGAAATGGGAAAATGATAAACCCATAATAGGAAGTTCATAGCTGCAAAATTGAGGCATTTCAGCATTACTCAGTATTACTGAGTTAAAAGCTAAGCCCAGATGGCAATTTATTAACAAGGATGTTAGGAGGAGACAGAAATGGCTGTCTGTCAGTGATGGCATTTTTCCTAGATGGAGTAACAGCTTCAATTAATGTTAGTTAATATGCAAGGCACTGAGGACTGGTATGGAAGGAACTAGGGAAAATCTGATTATAAGGATGACCTTCCACCTTGCTCGGAAATCAAGCATGGAAATTACATAGAAAAAACTAAAACAGTCTTCATTTTTCCAGGTAATAAATGTACATTGGGATACAGGTGAAGATAGGTTAGGCTTAGATTTCCTTTAGGTCTGAGATTCAGTTTAATGTTGACTGCTAGGTTAGTAAGAAACCAGTGAAAGTATGCTGGTGAATGGATTTTTCAGCAAATCCCATCATTTTTTTTTCATCAATCCCTATATTAGTTGGATATTTCAGAGTGTCATCATTTAAATTACTGAACTGGCTTCTGGCTGTATCTATGGAACACTCCATTGTTTGAAAAAAATAATTACCATTCATGCTTTTGAATACATGCATTGATAATGCAATCATATTTTTTTCTCATTTTAAAATGGCCATTTCATGTTTTAGGGCTTTTTCCATTCAGTCTATCTCCAGAAATTTAAAATGAAAACCACTTCTTTTCATAGAACTATTTAAAACTGGAAAAACTCCTGTCTTTCTCTTTCTTTTTCTGTTTCTCTCATATGCTAAAGATTTATACTAACTTTGTGGTAGTATTAACATTTTTTACATTGATTGTTGTACTGTATTGGGAATGTCTTACTTTGATTGCTATACTATTTTATTTTTATATTCGTATATAATTTTAATTTCCTGTTTTGATTGACTTGTTTCCCATTTAGTTATAAGCATGTGCTAATTAAAAGTATTGCTATTACTACTTGAAAGATATTGCCAATAAAAAAAAGCCCAGCATGAATATAAGCTACATGGAGGGGGGGAGGAACTCTCTCTATAGTAGTTTTGCAAAGAAAGGAATTTTATTTATTTATTTATTTATGAGACTTATATGTTAAGTCCTTGAAACAAAATATAGGCAGGGCTATCGGAAAAGCTCAGGAGAATCCTCAGCCAACACAACATATATGCATACTTCAAACCCAAAAAATACACTAAGGCAGAAGTTTGTCACCCCAAGGATAAAACACCCAGACACAAATTGAGCAACATATATGCAGTACAATACAGTGAGCCATGTTCAGAAGTGACAACCACTTCATAAACGCATGGCGCAACATCAGGACAAGATTCAAAAATCCATCTGCTGTTAAAAGACAAAGACCACTCTTTCGAAAATAGCAAAGTCCACATTTTGGACAGATAGGACCGCTGGTTTGAAAAAGGGGTCAAAGAGGCCATCTATGTCAAAATTGAACACCCCTCCCTCAACAGAGGGGGAGGGATACGACATCATCTGTCTCCAGTCTACATCGCAGCCCTTTCAGCAGTTCCAAGAAGGCTCCACACCCATTTGCACTACTCAAGTGGTCTCAACAACTCTCTAAAAGAATGCAAATGACCAGCTGTCTGCAAGGAGTATAAATCCTTTCATTCCCCACCTTTCCGTCAGACTGAAGAAGCTTCTTGGATGAAAAGCGAAACGTCTTCAAAGAAAAAACAAGAAAGTCCAAAAAGTCTCGTTAAAAAGCACCTTTGGGATAACTATGACCTGGATGACTGAGAATCTCCATAGACATTTGCTTTTACATATGTGTGTTCATTACAGTTTATGTAAAATGTGCTTTGAATGTCCCTTGTTTGAAGAACGGGTAACATGAAGAAGCAATTTTAAACCATTCAGTAGCAAAGGACTTGGTGAATGTTGTTCACCCAGGTATGCTTAACCTAGTTACCGAGTTTAATCATTTTCTAACTTTGCATAATATATTAAACTGTAGACTAAACAAATTAATAAAATTGCACAACTGTGTTAAGCTACAAAAAACAAGGCAAGGTTAGGATATTAGGCAATGTTTTTAGCCTGTAAACAAATTAAGGGTGTGGTATGAATAACTGCACGTTCACCTTCTGTATGCCACACAGAACTACCGTTTTGCAAAGTCAGCATGCACCAATAAGTTGATAATCTTCCCCTAGTTGGAAAGTGTCCTTCTCATAGTTTTCCCAATTTTTATATCATTTACATCTGAAATGGTTGTGGGCCAGTTATTAATTCCTACATGATTGTTCTAAAGGTGCCTTTTCAAGAGGCAACTGGACTTTCTCTTTCTTTTTTTTTTTTTTGAAGACATTTCGCTTCTCATCCAAGAAGCTTCTTCAGCTTTCATCAGACAACCATGACCTGGATGACTAAGAATCTCCATAGACATTTCTACATGATGTTTCTCCATCCCAGTCATTGGGAATGGAAGATAAATGCTGATAATGGATAGAGCAGTGTATTCCAACCTTAGCAACTTAAAGATATGTAGACTTTAACCCATCTTTAAATGGCCAAAGATGAGAAACACGGGGATAGAATATAGTGTCCAGGTAGGTTTGAGCAACCAGACCATGATGCTCTGTGTTTTTAATTTAAGAACCAGTTTGGACTATTAAAAAATAAGAGACTGTGAGTTCAACTTCTACCATGTTTCTGCCATGAAAGCCAGCTAAGTGACTTTTGGCCAGTCACTCTCTCTCAGCCTAACCCACCTCACAGAGTTGCTGTTGTAAGGAAAATAGGAGGAGGAAGTAGTGTTGGATATGTTTGCTGCCCTGAGTTATTTGTAAAAATAATAGGGGCGGGATACAATTAAATAAAAATAATAATCATAATAACGTAACCCCATTTCCTCATCTGAACAGAATCAAATAAGATCATGTTGCTCCAGAGAAGAAAAAGAGATCCAAATGGGATAAATAAGCAAGCTGGGCGAAAAGCTGCACCATCCATATTCTACATGGACAACACTGTCTTTGTGCTTAGTAAAAAGATGTCTTCAGCCAATGAATCTGTTGACTTCCATTCTACGTAACTTAGTTCACTTCCTGTTTCCTTGTTTTTTTCCCCCCCAGACATGGATGGGAAGAAATGCAGTGTATGGATGTTCTTACCTCTTGTCTTGACATTGTTTACCTCAGCAGGACTGTGGATTGTGTAAGTACCCCTTGCTGTAGTTTCTGACACAAAACAAGTCTGTCAAATAATAGAAGTTGCAACATGTTTCCAGCAGATCTTGACTAAAAACACTTCTAGCAGAAGCAGCATTCTATCCAAGGAACATTATTATAATGTTTTTTTTTTCTTGGAATGCTTTATTTCTTTCATCACAGTAACTTGAATGAGGTAAGATAATTGCATAATAAAGTTGTCTGGAAGTGTTTTCAGTCAAAATCCCATGATTATTATACACAGTTATTCTTCGTGGGCTGTGGAAGTTCTTTTCTCCAGTTTGTTTCTTTATATTTTTGCAGTACTGATACAAAATTAGCATTTTCCACGCCTGCCAAAGTTTCTCTGCCTTGCCAATATAAGCAATGCTATTGATAAAAACCATGCACACATATGCAAGAAATTAAGCACCCATGTCTGCAATCCAGATGTGATATAATCTACATACTTATGCAATGTAAGCAAATCTGTAAAACTTGTCTTGTTCTGCATTGTTTAATTTGCCATTATTTAATTTGCATAACTGCCATTATGCAATATTTTATCTGGGTATGGTTTGCCATCCTGGGAAGTATGCAAAAGATTAGTCAGAAGATCTAAACCTTATTTTCTGTCATAAATGGCCAGCTGATGTTATTGCTGACCTTCCAAAATGGCTAGATGTTTAATTTCCCAGTAGAGCCTATAGCTGGGGTCTTCAAACTTGGCCCTTTTATGACTTGTGGACTTCAACTCCCAGAATTCCTCATCCAGCATGCCTGGCTGAGGAATTCTGGGAGTTGAAGTCCACAAGTCATAAAAGGGCCAAGTTTGAAGATCCCTGGCCTATAGCCTCTTCCTTGAATATTTAACTAAGCCCCATGCTGCTTAGCCTCAGTCAAAGGTAGCCAGGCACCATATCTGCTCAGAGTAAAGACTCCTTAAAGGTAAATTAGAGCTTATTCTGTGTTTGGTTGTCACAGGAAGTCGCAGGAAGTTATGGCTTTCCCTGACAACTCATGGCTTTTCCCTTGGGAAAGCAACATTATGCACGGGCAGGATGAAAGTAAAAAATGTCAAGTTAGTGAGCCAAAGAGTTGGAAACATGATATATAAAAAAAGAAAACCTATTTGTAACTTCATTACTGTACAGCAACAGCATTCACCATATCTCTCCGTACCTTTCTATTTCTTTGTTATTCTAGATTTCATGGGACCCATATGCCACTTCATTAATTGTCCTTAGTTCTTTAAACTTCTCATCTGTCTCTTTTTAGAGGAATTTATCAATGCCGTCCAAACATAACTTTCTTGGTCTTTTCCTTCCTCTCAATCCAATCACTCTTCCCTCACATATGCTTCTTCTTCAGTCTCCTAAAGAATTTCTTGCCAACTCCTAGTTCCAATAACCCTACATAACTTTCTTTTTTTGTCGTGAGAGATTATTGTATTAACATTTTTTATTCTTCTCCTTTCCTATGTTCGACAGATATTTTATAGCAGTAGAGGACGGGAAAATTCTTCCACTAAATGTGCCATACAGGTAAAACACTAATTTTTAAAAATATTTATTTCCTTTCTTCTTATCTGGCATTTAAAGGCTTTGCTAGGCTCGTTTCCAAAACAATGTTAGGAGCTGAACTCTCTGGCCATCTATAATAAAATAGAATTAGCTTCCCTTAAACGTGAAGTGCTTTTTTATAAGCCTTTTTTATTAACTCGAGTTCCAACATACATGTTAATGCTTTTTTAATAAGGCTATGCAGTGCTCGGGATTTAATTCCCAAGAGGTGTTTGAAACATACAAGTCTGTGAAGGTCACCACTATCTGTAACTCTTTAAAATAGCCATGTCTTTTCTGGGGATGGCAGTTGCATGATCTCAGAAAAAGACACGACTGCTTTAAAAAGTTACAGATGAATGCTATAATTTTGCTCCCATCCACTTTAAAGAACCTTTGAGTCACTGACTCTGAGGCACTGCCCAGCCATAGCCATAGAGAGTATTCATGGTCATTAGCCCATTCTCTACTAATAACTCAATATGGTGTAAATAACCCAAGTGAAAGTAGATTAAAAACAAAGACAAGATGTTCAGCTTGTTTAATTGTGCATTTGGTCATTAGTATCTCATAGTGTTGAGCCATATAGCACAAGAGTCTACTTTTTCCTTCTTCGCTTTGTGTTTGAGCAACATTCTGAGATTTGCAGTTGAATCCAGTTATCAAGTGGTAGCCCAAAGAACAGAGCTGGTCTTGATTATCACCATGCCTTGTAAACCTTATACCCTCCAGCATATAAGCGCTATATTAATATAGAAATTTAAAAAGTAAACACTAAGAAGAATGAGGACAAAGAGAGACGAAATCACAGTAGAGGGAGCAAATTGGCCATTTCTGATACAGTGGTACCTTGATACTCGTCATTAAGTGGTTCTAGGAGGTGGGACAAGTACTAAATGATGAGTGCCAAACTAACCACGTGACTTACCGTGTGACCCTTTGTTTTGGACAGGAAGGACTTCCTGTCTGTCCCTTTTCCTATGTCAATGATTCCCAGTTTGGCCGACTTCCTGTACACCCTCTGGCGGCCGTCCCCCTTTTCTTTTTGCATCAGCCTTCCTCACATAGCCAACTTCTTATCTGTTCTCCGCAGCTGTCCCCCTTTTCCTACTGCAGTGTGTCGCGTTCCAAACAAACAAGTACTGGGACAATATTTTCGCACCAAAATGTGTCGAGTAGCAAATTCAATGAGTTTTGAAGCACACTGTACCACTGTACAGGTACCACTGTATATCGAAGGAAGATATAATTATATTGAGCCAACAAAATTGTGCCACCAGACGAATCGATGTACATGCAGTATAGCTTGAAAAAGCAAATACCATTTGCACAATTGATAATAAGAATTAGGATAGAGGAACTGATAGAGCAATGTTTCTCAACCTTGACAATTTTAAGGCATGTGGACTTCAATTTCCAGAATTCCACAGCCAGCATTGCTGGCTGTGGAATTCTGGGAGTTGAAGTCCACATGCCTTAAAATTGTCAAGGTTGAGAAACACTGTGATAGAGGAAGAGACTCTCAAGATGAGTTTTAAGGGGCAATCTATAAAGCCATGGCAAACAGTTTAGATCATAGACACCTGCTGAGTTTCCTTCTTTTCCTTTTGATTCAGAACCAAAGACCTTCTGATCTAATTCAAATAAACACACACATATATACCAGGAAGAGTAAGAAGAAGCACAATCATCATTGCCCAGTGCTTGGGAGCAGTTGGAAATTCACCTATCCTTTCTGTACAGCTCAAGGACAGATAGAATATTTGTAGCTCGGGTTTGAATTGTGGGGTCCTTGGTGCTCTCTGAGTTTGGTACTTTTCTTGCAAGAGAGCAAGGAGAGAGTGCCCCAAGGAGTCCACCACTCAAGAAGAGGAATCGAATTACATGCCCCATTCTGAGTGCTGAGGTGAAGGAAAGATTATGAGAAGAACTACTTGATGTATGCACTTTCCCACCATCATGGCTCTCCGTGATGGGCAGTTGATACATGCCCACACACCTCCATTCAGAAATGGAGACCAGTTCTCAAGAGGGCAGGAACAGTTGGGAGAACAGAATGCAGAAGGAGACTTGGGACATCTTTAAGTTGGGGAGGACCTCACAAAAAAAATTTCCCGAGGGTTCAAAGCCAGGACTTCTAGAAATTGTTATTTACAGTCAAAAGCCCTCCCCAATCTTGCATGTGGATCCTGAATTCTAGGGTTCCCCTACCCTCAATATTTCTGACAATTTTGGAGTAGAAGTCCACATATCCAGGTGCCCAGATTGAAGAAGATTGCTGTAGATGTTTTTGGTAGATTGCGATCAGAGCTCTGTTTCATCTTGTTTGAAAGTAGATCATTTGCTTAAAACTAGACATTTCTATGCAAAACAAGTTCAATGGCACCAAATGACTAATGCTGTCATTCTGACTTAGGTGTGATTAGTTTCCTTTTGTGTCCCGCAGCAAACCAACTTCTTTAAGGCCGCCATATATAAGGTAATCATGCCCTTGTCCGTTCTCTTCTCTTGTCCATTCTCTTTTTTTTTTCTTCTTTTCCCCAACAAGATCTGTTCTACCCTGTGCATTTTTAATTGATTTGTTTACCTTTGTTGCAGGCTTAGTAGATTTACAATGAAACACATTATATTTTTGAAGTATTGCAGGTGATGTCCCTCCTGCTAGCTGTGTATTTAGCCAAGTCATGAACATGGCAGCATTCCTAGGTAGGCGTTGCATGAAGAATGTGTGACTTTTTTTTTTTAATCTCTTCTAATTCACTCTAGAGAATCTCCTGTTTCAGCCAAATCCATGTCATTGAGACCTAGTGAGCAGCAAGTTACAAGGGCTAAATTCTCTCTGAGGTGGTAAAGTTGGGTTTGGGCTAGAAACAACTTCACATCCTCCAATTATTATAGTAAAAAGAAAGTTAGCATGTCTAGGAAAAAGCTAGGCTGTATCATTTTCCCTGACACATTAACACTTTAGCGTGGTTTTAGTCAATAACCAACAATGGACACTATACTCAGTTTCTATTTGTATACTCTTGTATAGGATAGACAGAGATTCGAAGTAGGGAAAAAATATCTGGAATCTTAAAACTCAAAAACTAGGTACTTTTCTTCAAATTGGGCCTGTCCTACTGTACAAGGTGGTCAATTTTTAAATCTCTCTCTGCAGATTGTTGTGAGCTGGCTGCCATTTAAAATGTTCCACAAAGCTCTGGAATCGCATCATATCCAAGCTTTATGGGTAATTAAAGTAGAAGATGAGAATGCTGCTTTCTGTCATTAGTGACAGCTTGTTGGTGGGCAATAAAGTTGAGAAGAAGCTACCAATTAATACTCAGACCTAAAGCTTACTACCTCAGCAGGAACTAGGCCTATAAAAGATGTGTTAAATATTCTAATATTGACCCATGAGTGCCTTCGTATTGTTTTTTCATATGTGAAATTAAAAAAACAAACCAACCACATCATCAGTTATTATTATTGGTTTGCATGAGGCTTTTACAGACTGTTGTTTGAGAACCTTGCATGTATGTAAACATCGCACAGTTGTGAGTGTGCATATAATAACAGCACTGATGTACCATTTATATGTACGTTTTTCTTCTCTGGGCGGTTGGTCACTCTTCCCATGTTATAGAGCGGCACAAAAGATTATAGATTATTATTTTGTCGTGATTCCAATAGATGAGACCAGTAAAAAGAGAACTCCAAGGCAAAAACATGTTCCTTAAAGAACATATTTATTGGCTAAAAAATATCAGCAGTTTCAAAAGTAAAATCAAGACTGAAGTTCTCCCTCCCCCAAGGTTACAATGTTATAAAGTTGATTTCCCCACCCCAGTAATATGTCATAAATTACATTCCCCAATAAACTACTTTGGTGGGCTTCCTAACTAAAACTTCAGCCCGGCCAAAACTTAGGCAACAATGACCTTGGTTTCCACAGAACAACTTATTGTTGTGACTAAACTAAAAAATACTTATCCCCCCTCCCAACTCTGTAGCAACTGAAAAACGAAGCGGAATTGGCTTCAGCCAAATTTGTTTGCAGCGTTGACATATTTTTTTATAATCTTGAGAATTGAATATACTAAGCAGTTGAGATGTGTTTGAATATTAGTAGCTCGGGCTGGTAGTTGGGCTCTTGGTTTGATCTCCGAGCTTGGCTTTTTGGCTGTAAAATTGCCAAGCTCAAGAGTTCAAACCAACAGCCCATACTAAGCAGTGTTAGGAAATAAATAGTATCTACAATAAAGCTTTGTTGATGCTTTCTTTCTCAAGTGTGCCTATCATGTGAGGAGAAAGAGAAGGAACAGTCTTAATGGCCTTAACTCCTGCCAGCCTAAGTTCTCTCGGTCAAGGATGGAAGAAAGGTTCTGATGCAATAAATTCATTTAGCGCCTCTTGTATGGTTGAACCCGCAAAGTATAAATCTTCTGAAGAACCTAAATCTTCCAGGGTTTCTCTGATCATTTTGTAGTAACAGGAGAAGGACCCAGAAGGTAGAACCAGAGAGCAAGGTTCCATGTCTCCCCCATGTATAACAGAGGATGAATGTTAGGACATTGAGACCAATTCTTTGCTCAATGTAGAACGCCCCCCACTAAGTGGCCATCCAGCTTCTGCATGGCCATATCCAGGAGAAAGTTCATTCCCCTTCTCAGAAATTAGATCTGTCATTGAACTGCTTTTACCATTAGGAGGTTTTCATGGATAGAGATCTGAGATCTGTTAAGATTCGTGGAAAAATTATCTTTCGGTTGCTACTGTCCAAGATAGTTCAACGCAACTTCCGATTGCAAGCATGAAAGTGGCAATGTGTACCTAGTGCAGTGATGGCGAACCTTTTAGAGACCGAGTGCCCAAACTGCAACCCAAAATCCACTTATACATCGTCGGGTGCCGGGTGGGTGTGGTCCATTGAGTGGGTGTGGCCCATTGAGTGGGTGTGGCCCATTGGGTGGGCATGGCCCACTGGGTGGGCGTGGCTGCAGTGGTAACGGCAGACTGGGTGGGACTAAAAAGTTCAATCAATCAATTCCAACTTTGTAAGATCTTTTTTTCCCAAGAGAAGTTGAAATTGACTGATTGATTGAAGCTTTTTTTTTTTTTTTTTGCACACTGCAGCAGAGGCCTAAAGCAAAAAGGTTTTATAAAACTCAGCTGAAGACCTAGGACTGGGATGACGGCGCGCGTGCCCACAGAGAGGGCTCTTGAGTGCCACCTCTGGCACCTGTGCCATAGGTTCGCCGCCACTGACCTAGTGTTTTGTTCCAGGGGTTGTTTAAAAATCCATGGTTTGGAGACCACAACACTTAGTCTGAAGGTGAAGCAGATTCACTATTAATTACGATTTGTGCAAGCCTGTGGCTAATTTCGCAGAAAATGGAATGACTCTTGATATTATATTCCAGAAAACATAGCACTATACTGTACAGGTAGTCCTTGACTTATGACTACAATTGAACCCAAGATTTCTGTTGCTAAGCGAGATGGTGTTAAATGAGTTTTACCCCATTTTACGACCTTTCTCGCCACAGTCGTTAAGGGAACCCACTGCATTTGTTTAAGTTAGTAACAACAGTGTTACTAACAATTGGCTTCCTCATTGACTTTGCCTGTCAGAAGATTGCAAAAGGTGATCACTTGACCTTGGGATACTGCAACCGTCACAAGCCAGTTGAATTTTGATCACATGACCATAGGGATTCTGCAGCGGTCGTTAAGTGTGAAAAACGGTCATGTCACTTTTTCAGTGCCCTTGTAACTTTGAAGGGCCACTAAATGAACTGTTGTAAGTCAAGGAGTAGTTGTACATGCATTCAAAAACGAATTTCAGCATACACACTATACCGGCGGAGGAACTCTGGGAGTTGAAGTCCACATATCTTAAAGTTGCTGAGGTGGAGAAAGAGGGCCATATAGCAGTGGTTCTCAACCTTTTCTTCTCCATGGTACCCCTTTAAATATCTTTTGTGGCCACAGACTATGGCCAGGGACCCCAATGACTTAACTCAAGACTTAAATTATAACATTTTTCAAGCCTTTGAGAAGATGCCCTGTCACGACATCACACATACCCCCTCCAGGGGACCGCGGACCACGGATTGAGAACCACTGCTACGTAATATAATTGTTGAGATAAACAGTGATTATCCATGCAGCTGTTTTGTAGCAATTGAACTGGGATGAAATTTTAGTTCACAGAAAGATTTTGTGAAAGAGCAAACAGAAAGTCCTTATTTTTCCTAATCTTTACTGATTTGTGGTTGTCCAGTCCTACCATGTCTGAGTTGAGAGCTGGATCTACATGATAGGGAGTCATTTTTTAATATGTGTGAGCTTCCTGAAAAATTTAGAATCTTGCGCTAAGCCAGGGGTCAACTCCCAAAATTCAACTCCTGGCTGAGGAATTCTGGGAATTGAAGTCAACATGCCTGGCTGAGGAATTCTGGGAATTGAAGTCCACAAGTCATAAAAGGACCAAGTTTGAAGATCCCTGCTCTAAGCCCATCAGGTTTTTACACTGTATACAGCAGGGTTTTTCAAACTTGGCCCTTTTATGACTTGTGGACTTCAATTCCCAGAATTCCTCAGGCAGGCACGCTGGCTGAGGAATTCTGGGAGTTAAATTCCACAAGTCATAAAAGGGTCAAGTTTGAAGACCCCTGGTATACAGCATTTCTTTCTGCAAGTATTCAGCTCCATGTATGAGGCCCATGAGCAGTAATCGGGCTGCAAAAACATAACAAGTGATTTGCTTCAGTATTCACTGCACTGCTCATATAGCAGGTTAGTTAAAAACGTGGCTAACATATATGAGCCAAGCCCATTTTCTTAGTAAAAGTGTGGTTTAATGCACTGTAAACACAGGAAAAGGCGGATGCAGTAACCAAGTTAAGCTTTGTGTGCAAACTCAGTTATACATCTCTAATCTCATGGGGATAGGAGTGGGGGAACTGGTGCTAGTGGCTTTACTGGTTTAGTCATCCACAAAGTTAAAGGGAGAATTCATTTTGGGACTGCTCAGCCTGTGCTAACTGGTGTTTTGCAGTAAGTGACAGCACCTGTTCATGTGAATGGATCTCCTCTTGTACTTTTATTGTGGAAGTTAAAATTGCAGAACTGCATCACCAATTTTCTCTCTCTTTTTTTCAGTACTGGTCATAGCTGTCCTACGCTTCATTCAGCTAAAGCCAAAGGTTTTGAATCCATGGCTCAATATCAGTGGCTTGGTGGCCTTATGCTTGGCTTCTTTTGGAATGACCCTTCTGGGCAACTTCCAGGTATTTCATTTTCTCGTCCTTTTACTGGTTGGAATCACACTTTTCACACTCTCATTTTGTTGCTTTTGGTTTAGTGCAGGGGTAGATAACCTCGGCTCTTTTATGACTCATGGACTTCAACTCCCAGAATTCCTGAGTCAGTAGAAGTCCATGAGTCATAAAAGAGCCAAGGTTGCCTACCCCTGGTTTAGTGTGTTGATCTCCTGGGGTAAACCAGATAGGAATTGCAACAAGATGAGCTAATTCTACTTTATTGTAGACAGAATCTTGCAGGTCTGGATAGTCAGATAGTCCTCGACTTACATCAGTTCACTTGCTGACTGTTCGAAGTTACAACGGCACCGGAAAAAGGGACACGGCTATTTTTCACACGTATGATTATTGCAGCATCCCCACGGTCACGTGACTTTCAGATGCTTGACAACTGACTCATATTTATGACGGTTGCAGTATCCTGGGGGGTCACGGGATCACCTTTTCCGACCTGACAAGCAAGGTCAACGGGGAAGGCAGATTCACTTAACAACCGTGTTGTTAACTTAACCACTGCGGTATTTCACTTAACAAATGTGGCGAAAAAAGTCGTAGAAGGGGACAAAACAAATTTCTCACTTAGCAACATTCCTTTGGGGCTCAATTGTGGTCGTAAGTTGAGGACTACCTGAATAGTCTTCACCCTCCACGCCCCTTTACAGTCTGAGAAACTAGGAAAGGTCTCTTCTGTCCCCACTTACTATCCTGCTGTGGGTTTTAAATCTGACCGTTCTCTTTGTCGATGGTTCAGAGGGTTAAATTCGTTGAGCTTATAAGCTGGAAAGCTGACAGCCTGGGTTCAAGCCCCAAGTGCCATGTAATGCGGAGAGCTCCCGTTGTCTGCCCCAGCTCCTGCCAACATAGCAGTTGGAAAACATGCAAATGCAAGTAAATAAATAGGTACCATTCCGGTGGGAAGGTAACAGCACTCCATGCACCTCGGCATATAGTAGTGGCCAAAATTGTGGAAACCTTTTGAGAAAAGTGTATTTTTGAGGTTTGATGGCTAATAACACCACTTTTTTTTGGGAGTAGTACCATAAAACTATATATCAGTGCTGGCGAACCTATGGCACATGTGCCAGAGGTGGCATTCTCTGTGGGAAAGCACACCGTCGTCCCAGCCCCACCTCTCCCCGTGGCCACCACCTCACCAGCAGACCCCCCAGAGGAGAGTAGCCCCCAAGCGCGGCCCATGCGGAGCAGTGCAGCCAAGAACATGGCAGCTGGGCAGCGGGGACAAGACTCTGTCCTTGTGCCCCGTTGTGCGCACTTGATTCTGCGGGGCGCAAGGAGAGAGCGTGACTGCCATGGCGCTGCTGGGCTGCCTGGGCGATCTGTGGAGGCGGTGGGTGGCCCTGTGGGCAGGTGGGATAGGGGGCGGGGAGCAGGATGGGGCGAGGTGGGGGCAGAGCGGGCAGGGTGGGGGCGGGGCCTGTTTTTGGGCACTTGGTCTCTAAAAGGTTCGCCACCACTGCTATATATCAATGGAAAGATAATTTAATCAAGAATGTAATGCAACAAAGTTTGTTCAATTATCTGTTACTATATTCTATGAAAAGTTATAGCTAAATAACCAGAAAAAGCACAACTTGCTCAGGTTGATATCAGGTAGCTTTCCTTCCTTTGATTGTAGCCAAGAAGCGTGAGTGTTTAAAGAGCCAATCGGGTGCCATCTTGTTTTGCCAATGAGCCAATCGGATCACAGTAGGATTCAGTGATTGATGTCGTGTATTGAAGCTGAGAGGAGGACATTTGTCAGTGTGTTATGTGATCGCTATCAAGTTGGTTGGGTTTTTTTGTGTTCTTTCATTTAGTGAGCTTGTAAAACGTCATAAAATTAAAGTAATGGTGCAAAGAGTTGACTGGTTGCCCAGAAAGCGATGTAAAATAGCATTATTAAGTGAACAAGGCTACAGTTATAAAGAAATTAGAAGAAAAATGGGTGGAAACTTAACCAAAGGTGGCATTTCTACTGTACACTTTCCTCAAAAGGTTTCCACAATTTTGGCCACTACTATATAGTCAGGCTGGCTAGATGACCACAGAAATGTCTTCAAGAGAACACTGACTCCCTCGGCTGAGAAACAGAGATCAACACTGCCCCCTAGAGTTGGAAACAGCCAGACTGGGGAAACCTTTCCATTTCTCCAAAGTTCTTTCCCACATACTGTTATATCTAGCCACTATTTATGAATCATGGCTTAAGGCTTTTGTTTCTGCATAAACGATTATGCTTTATTTATTCAGTAAAACGTACTGGAGCAAATTATGACTTATAGCTTACAGAATCCAGAACTTTGTTTCCTGTCTCATTTAATGAATGTCCCAGTTCCCTATAAATGGCTTTCTTCTCAATTGACTAAGCCAGAATCAGTCCACTATGCTAGACCTTGTGTGCTTAGCAAGATTGTTTGGTGCCATTTGTCTTGCTTCAGCCACATAAGTTTCTTTTGAACTTTCTTCAGTTTTTCTGTAGGAAAACTTGATGCCAGAAAGGCAAGATCCATTGAGCATCCATGGCTGCCTGGATATACCTAAATTGTATTTGCATGAGCCAAACCTTGATTGGGGGTCAAGCCATAAAGTTTCTATGCTACCTTTTTGGCTGTAGGCAGCTGAGAAATTTGGCAAATTTATAATAGTGATATCTTCAAGAAATAAGCACAGGAAACAAGACTGATGGATTTGCACAGAATATTAAGAGATGAAGGGATTAAAAACTTGCCAGCCTGCAAATCTGAAATCCAGATTTTGTGGCAAGATTGTAAAATATACCTGGTTCTAATAGATTAGCAAGAGCAGTTAGAATCCATAGGCAGCCTCAGTCTTATTAGAACCTACATTAGTACCTAAAGCCCTTCAAAACATCCTAACCAAAAGACCCAGCAATCCCAGAAGAAAATAACAGGAGTCATCTACAACAGGGGTCCCCAACTCCCGGTCCGTGGACCAGTACCAGCCGCGGCATGCCAGCAACCGCTCCGCACAAACAAGCAAAGCTCATACGCAGGAACCGGTAGCTAATTTTTTGTTGCCCAGGCCCAGAATGGACTTCCAGAAGCGGCATCCACACAGAGAACTGTTTGTTCACATATTTGAATCCCACCACTGCTTCAGACCAACAATCAAGTAAGCAATACCCCAGTCAAGAAACTGCCGTTAGTAAACAGCCCAACCAAAGAATCCCTAAGATCACCCACCCACCCAGACAGGCAAGACACCAGAATATAACCTGACAGCAAACAGCACTCCTTACTAGCACTGATGATGCTACCTAGTAAGGATAATGAAATGTCTGCAAGAAAATAAGCCAGCTCAGAGAGCACCAAGGATCCCTCACTACCTACATTTATTTGGGATAAGTATAAGACAGTGATGGCGAACCTTTTAGAGCAGTGGTTCTCAACCTTTTTAATGCTGCGACTCCCAACCGGTCGTAAGTCGAGGACTACTCAACCGGTTGTAAGTCGAGGACTACTCAACTGGTGCAGCACTGTTTGCAGACTGGGACTTTTGGCGGACTCAGCAGGACAGAGACAGCCTGGACAATTCCTATTGGCTTTTGAAAGCCAATAGAATTAGACTCTATTCAAGAGAGTCTATTCTATTGGCTTTCAAAAGCCAATAGAATAAAAGGGAGTAGCACAGCTAAGGAAAAGGGAAAAAATGGTGGACTACATTGTTTGGCGACCCCCGTGAAATGGTCGTTTGACCCCAAATAGGGTCCCGACCCACAGGTTGAGAACCACTGATCTAGAGATTGAGTGCCCTAAAACCGCCCCGCCCCCACCTTGCGTCCCCGCACCGCCCCTGCCCCACTCTGCCCCCACTCTGCCCACCCGCAGGGCCACCCACTGCCTCCACAGCCCGCTGCAGATCGCTCAGGGGGCCCAGCAGCACCATGGCAACTACACCCTCCACCCGTGCCCCTCAACTGCACGTGACGGGGTGCGAGGGCAGAGTCTTGTTTCCGCTGCCTGCCTGCCATATCCTTGGCTGCACTGCTCCATGCGGGCTGCACTTGGGGGCGACTCTCTTCCGGGAGGGCTGTTGATAAGGAGGGGGCCGTGGGGGGAGGTGCGGCTGAGGGCTCTTGAGTGCCACCTCTAGCACGCGTGCCATAGGCTCGCCACCACTGGTATAAGAGATGATGAAAGGGTGGCACTGTCTCACTGATCTATTTGGGTCTTCTTCAGAAAAGACATAAGAATGTCAACATCCCTCTCCAACTCATAGCTCCAAATATGTAAGAGCTATAGATAGTTCTCAACTTATGACCAGTCACTTAGTAGCCTTCTCCAGGTTACAACCCAGATTTGGAGTTCTGACAATCCCCCCTCCCATCAAGTGATCACAGTTTTGGTACTTGGCAACCAGCCTGTATTCACAGCCCTTTGCAGCATCCTATGGTCACGTGACCACAATTTACAATGTTTTTGAACTTCCGTTTTTTTAGCAAAAACACTCACTGCAAACAATGAGTTCACTTAAAGACTGTCTTGTTTGCGAAACAACCATTGCAGAAAAGATCATACAATCGGGTCGGTCACATGGTGATCAGCTTAACAACCAGCATGACTTATGACCATGATTCTGGCTACAATTACAGTTGTAAGTCGAGGGCCACCTGTACAGATAGTTCTGGACTTAACAGCAGTTCATTTCATGACCGCTCAAAGTTACAGTGGTCCTGGAAATAGTGAGTTACGGCTGTTTTTCACACTTATGACCGTTGCAGCATCCCCATGGTCATGCGATCAAAATTCATACGCTTGAAACCGACTCATAGTTATGACGGTTGCGGTGTCCCAGGGTCATGCGATTAGCTTTTGTGATCTTCTGACAAGCAAAGTCAATGGGGAAGCCACTTAACAACCATATCAGTAACTTAACAGCTGCAGTGAATCACTTAACTAGGGCAAGAAAAGTGATAAAATGGGGATAAAATTCACTGAACAAATATTTTGGGCTCCATTGTGGTCGTAAGTTGAGGACTACCTGTATCAGGTTGGAAGTTGAGAGATAAGCAGAACCTGGCAAGGAAACTTAAGACCTGCCTTTTCCGGCAGGCCTGGGGTTTATAAAATCTGACCCCTGGATGACTGTTATTGTATTGTTTGTTTTGTCATGTTATATGATGTTTTTATTGTTAGCCGCCCGGAGTCCTGCGGGAGTGGGGCGGTTTATAAATTTTAAAAATAAAAATAAATAAAATAAATAAAAATAAACCTCTCCAGCTGTGTCAGTACTCCCTGCAGATATATTAGGACATTCTGAGTTGAGCACTAGGAAGTGGAACCTTTGGAAAAATTTGGCCGACTGTTTTTTTTACTGGGTGTATTAACCAAGGTCACCTGTTCTGTGCTCTCTTTTTTTTTTCAGCTTTCCAATGATGAAGAAATACACAATGTTGGCACCTTTTTGGCCTTTGGGTTCGGCACTCTGGCCTGTTGGATTCAATCCGCACTAACCCTCAAAATAAACTTGAAGAACGAAGGTAGACAAGCTGGAATCCCACGAGTGGTTTTGTCGGCAGCAATAACTCTCTGCCTAGTCCTGTGTATCCTTTTACGTTTTTGCTTCTTTTTTTCTTTTCAGAATGCAAGTATTGCTTTAAAAAAAAAACGGCTTGAATCCTGATAAGCTGTTTCTGGATTGTTACTAAATTCAACACTGTTCCTGTTTTCATGTGCTTCATTTGATGTTTGGAGACAGCCAAATGACCCAAATTACGGGTTTTCAACCCCTCCCCCCCGTTTCAATATTTAAAGAAACAAAGCTTTAGTGCTAAAAGGTTAGCTGCGTTTGAATTATTATGGTTGGTTGCACAATGATGATGTTAAAGGTATTGTCAGAAATTGTTCATACAAAATTGCCTTTTGCAATTGATTGGTGCAAGTCCATGCAGATTATCAGTCATCCATGTCACGGTTGTCCCAAAGGTGCTTTTTCTGGAGGCAGCTGGATTTCCTTTTTTTTTCTTTGAAGATGTTTCACTTTTCATCCAAGAAGCTTTTTCAGCTCGGACTGGATAGTGAGGAATGGAAGGATTTATGTTCCTTGCAGGCAGCTGGTCATTTGCAGTCTTTTAGAGCAGGAGTTTCCAAATGGGGGTGCTCGCATGATATTCCAGGGGGTGCGAAAACTTGGCTTTTCAAAATTATGGTGTATATGCATAATTTGTTGCCGTTATTTCGAACTTCTGTAAGTTGTGCGAGAATATATCACAGTGGTTCTCAACCTTTTTAATGCTGTGACCGCCAACCGGTCGTAAGTCGAGGACTACCCAACCAGTCATAAGTCGAGGACTACCCAACCGGTCGTAAGTCGAGGACTTTCCCTGCCCGGGAGCGCCGCGCATGCGTGGTGCCGCCCCCTGCGCCGGCCGAGGCATAGGTGGCAAGCGGCAGAGACGGCGCAGGCCAACCACCGGCTGGGCCATCAGCTGGCCCAGCCCAAGGGAGGTAAGGCACCCGTGGGCCCCCCGCGTGCCAGCAACCCTCCCTGTGCCCGCCGGCCTCCCACCTCCCACCCCTGGCCCTCTTTTACTTACATTTTTAGTAGTTGCTCAGCAGGGAGGGGTGGAAGCTTCCAGACAGCTCGCCTTCGCTGCAGACAACTTGCAGCACCGTTTGCAGAATGGGACTTTTGGTGGGCTCAGCAGGACAGAGACAGCCTGGACAATTCCTATTGGCTTTTGAAAGCCAATAGAATTAGACTCTATTCAAGAGAGTCTATTCTATTGGCTTTCAAAAGCCAATAGAATAAAAGGGAGTAGCACAGCTAAGGAAAAGGGGAAAAAAATGGCGAACTGTGTTGTTTGGCAACCCCCGTGAAATGGTCGTTCGACCCCAAATGGGGTCCCGACCCACAGGTTGAGAACCGCTGATATATCAGAAGCGTTCCAGGGGTGCAGAGCATAGAAAAGATTGGGAGCCGTTGTTTTAGAGAGTCGTTGAGGCCACTTGGAGGTTTATCTATGTCCTCAGGGTCACCTGGGTAGTACAAATATGTGTGGAGCCTTCTTGGAAACATCCTGCAATGTTTTCAAGTTTTATTTGGATTTCTCTGAAATGTTTTGTCCCTACAAAAGGAATGGAAAATGTGCAGCCTTGAACTCAAAATTGATTCTAGCAAGGAGGCAGTATTGGGGAATTATTCAATCTAAAAACAGCTGGAGGTCAACACGTAAGACTGCTGGGAAGTTCCTACAGTGTGAAGAAATAGCCCACAGGAAATATTCTGTTTCTTTCTTGATGAGATCATTCTTAAGGAGGTCCTGAATATAGGATTATGCTGTTGAAAATTCCAGATCTAATGTTTTATGCCAAAGATTTTCAAACCTATTTAGGCTGTGGAATCTGATAGTTAGAAAGAAAATTTTCCCAGATTGCCTAATCCAGGGACAAACTCTGAAGATAAAAAAAAATGGCTGTGCTTGAGAGAACTTTTATTTATTCATTCCTTTTTGCTCTTAATCTGCCACAGATACTGTATCTTATCAAATTCTTGTAGAAGTTTAGAATTGTGCAAAACACTACTTAAGAAACCCTACCCTAGCCGCAATCACTCTGATAACATATGCCTGAGTTGACACACGCTTTAGGTTTTCCGAGAAACTTACCCTTATTGTAACATACGGTATGACGTTTCTAATCTTTGTGTTTTACAAATAGATACTGTGGGGGGAAAAACACAAGCAGCAACATCTGCATGTCTTAGCAGCCAAGGAATAACATTTCCAGTTGCTTAAATTGATATGGTCTTCTCATTACTAGCAAAGTTGCAAACCATGGTTGACTAAGCAATGTGAAATAAAGGTTGAGTTACAATTCTGTCAGCTTAATACAGTAGTCCTCAAGTTATACCTATAATTGAGCCCAAAATTTCCATTGCCAAGCAAGACAGTTGTTTTGCCCCATTTTGTGACCTTTCTTGTCACAGTTGTTAAGTGAATCGTGCAGTTAAGTTAGTAACACAGTTGTTAAGTGAATCCAGCTTCCCCATTGACTTTGCTCGTCAGGTCGCAAAAGGGGATCACATGACCCCGGGACACTGCAACCGTCACAAATGCATGCCAGTTGCCAAGCTCCTGACTTTTGATCACTATGGAGATGCTACAAGAGTTATGTGAAAAATGGTCATAAGTTCTTTTTTTTAGTGCCAATGCAACTTTGAACGGTCACTAAACAAATGGTTGTAAGTCGAGGGCTGCCGGTATTGCTGCTTTTCATGGTCAGATGTGGGTTTGATGGGATGAAGGTTTCAGGTATAGCCCGGATTCCAAGAGGTATTTCAACATTTGCTCCTGTTACCGGGTATGTTTCTGCATTTTTTCCTTGACCCTCCTTCAGATTTCATTTTGATGAGTGAGTTTAAGTCCCACATGGACGCGTCACGAGTCCAGTGGGGAATGGTGATGTGCTTCCTAGGTTTCTTCGGCTCCTTTGCGGTGGAATTCAGACACTACCGGTTTGAGATCATTTGCTCCGAGTACCAAGAGAATTTCCTCAGCTTTTCTGAAACTCTCTCTGAAGCCTCTGAGTATCAAACCGATCAGGTGTAACCCAGCTCCCATTGACCAGGCGGATGATGTTTGATGTCAAACGATTGAACTCACGGCCTCTTTCATTTACCGTGTTTTAAGCTTTTTTGCTAATTTCTCCCTGCAATCACCCTTTCTTTCTTTCTTTCTTTCTTTCTTTCTTTCTTTCTTTCTTTCTTTCTTTCTTTCTTTCTTTCTTTCTTTCTTTCTTTCTTTCTTTCTTTCTTCCTTCCTTCCTTCCTTCCTTTTCCTTTTTCTTCTGAACAAAGAATAAGATGCCTCTTTGCATGGATGTGCAAAATGTTTCCAACTGTTTGAGCCTGAACATCCTGCCTCAAATTCTGTGGAGATTCTCAGTCATCCAGATCATGCTTGTCCCAAAGGTGCTTTTTTTTTTTCCTTCCCAAAAGGCAATGGGACTTTGTTTTTCCTTGAAGACATTTTGCTTCTCATCCAAGAACTGAAGAAGTTTCTTGGATGAGAAGTGAAATACCTTCAAGGAAAGAAACAAAATCCAGCTGCTTGTTGAAAAAAAAAAGCCCCTTTGGGACATCCCGCCTCAAACGCAAAATGGCTGTTCTAAGCGCAAAGCGGGATGCTGTCAAACTTCCTGCATGTTTTCTGGACTCAAGGCACATTTTCCCCAATGTTCAAAACAGTCTACTTCTTGCTTAGAACAATTGTCACACATTTAGGACAGGGTGCTTTGTCCTCAATTGGAAACATTTGGCCCACACTACCTCTTCGCTTTTTTTTCTTTCTTTCTGGGTAAGGCATTTTATAACACGGTATGAGATGCTGAGTCATCGAGTTTACATTTGTTTCCCATAGTCCTCTTGGGACTGGCTGGCAGAACTTAATTTTGCATTATGTTGTTACATAAAACAGGTAGCAGAGAACTATGAACTGTTTTTCATACATACAGTATATGCGATTGCACCTTGAAGGACAATGAAAAAAAGAAAGGGTCTTGTTAGCTGCAAGTTTTAGACCAGGATTACACAGCAACCATGGTCTGTGGACGTATCATACGGCATCCACCGGGTGCAGGTGTGTCCAGATGATGTGTGAATAAGTTGCAGTGCAGGCTGCATCTGGTGTCTATGTGCATACACCATACAGAAGACAGGCTATGATTGTGACAGGGTTATGATTGTGACATCAGAGCAAATATCTTATATATCAGGAGTATATCTGCTGGATACCATTGTGTATATACTATAACCTGTACATTTGGCCATGGAAGTTACAGTTCCCAAGTCTATTATGAGGTTGCAAACCAGTTTCCTGTGTTACTAAGTTTCTGGGGTCAGTTGTCTGCTAAGGTGCAATGTTATCTTTCCTTCCTGTTTTTTGCATTTCAGACTCTTCGAAAGGAACTGCCAACTTTACCCCAGTATGGTCCATTAGAGAGTGAGGCAGATGGTGCTTGACCTCACAAAAATCAGGGCTTGGACTGTCAGTCTATCTGCCTTCCCATATTCTGGTGCTTTTACCACTCTTTATACTGAAAACAGGTTCACTTCTCACTGACTTGGAGAACAAGAACACAAAAAAACAGGAACATTTTTATGCAGCTTCCCTCTGGGGCCCAGTTAATGGATGGTGGGCAGCTATAGAAACTTAGCCAGATGAAGATTTGTGTTTCAAGGCCTTTAATATTTTCACAGAGGCAGGAATCTCAAGGAACTGTCCTGCAAAATCCTCCTTCTAGACAATTTTTCAAGTTGCATACAAGTTTTCTTTCTCTTATATGGCCTGTATACTTAACACACCTTTTTTTCAGAGATTGGAAGATGTTTCTACTTTGGAATGTTAAAGACTTAGATATGCCAATGTGAAGCTGTGGGGTACAGTCGTTACTTAAGGAGAAAAATGTAACATTGCTTGAAGTGCAAAAAAAATAAAATTAGCAGATGTTGGAAGGTTAACCAAGTAGCAATAACAAGGAGCTTATAAAGGGCAATTGAAAAGTTGCTAATTTGCCATATGGAATAATCAAATATCTACAGTTGAAGATATTTAGATTTTTGGGATGAAATCATTTGCCACCCTCAGAAAATATTTCAACAACGAATTGTGCGAAAAGCTGAAGTTTAATAATTAGAAATAGGAGACTTGTCAAAGTGATAATGGTTTTCAATATAGGACATAAACCCACACAAAATTGTAAAATACACAAGTGTTTCTATATTAGAGGGGTTTATGAGAGAGGCTGTAAGTTAAGCTAAATGCTGTTCAGATGTTTAGATCTCATTTCCCATCAGCTCTGGACAGGATGGCCAATGGCAAGAGATTGTATTACAAACATCTGGTGGGTAACAGGTTGCTTACCCCAGCTGTGAAGGAATCCATGCCAGCTGTGCTTGCCTAGTTATGAAAAGGTTGAAAACCTAAGAAAGCCACCAACAAGTAGCTAAATGAGTTTGTTAAAATGTGTTTTACTGTAAATAATTCATTGTCAATTTTTAAAAATCTTTTATGTTGTATCATTTATAGTTTGCATTTTTTCTGAAAGGGAGGAAAAATGATTTTGTGAACATTTTCTCTCTCTATTCAATATGCAACCCAACTTTTTTTTCATGATAATAGTGTAAATATCTTTTAAGTATTCCTTATGGCACATTTTTCAATATGGTCGAGCAAAGACTTCATAACTGCATACTGACACATGACCACTGAATAAATTTCTTTTATGGAAAGCCTGAGGATTGTTTTGTGCTTGTGCCTACACAGCAATGTATTTTTGTCATTGCCTGCTTTCTAAAGCTGAGCCCAAATGCCAAGTAATTAAAAGTATTCAGAGGAGTCCATTGAGAATGGCCTTGTTGCCCAAAATGCTCACGGAAACATCTGTGCTCATGCAGGGAAAACACCTGTAACCCAGAAGTGGTTCATCCGAAGCCAAAGCTATAAGGAATTATGTTTACATTTTTCTCCTTGTGGAATATACAGGTAGTCCTTGACTTATGGTTAGTGACCATTCAAAGTTGCGACAGATCCTCAAAAAGATATCTATGACCTGAATTCACTTACAGTATCTGCTCCTCTGGCAACCTGACTGCATTTATGCCCATTTGCAGTATCTTGCAATTTTATTTATATTTCATATTTACAATATTCTGTATGGAAAACTGGCATCTGCTTCTAGTTTTTGGCAAAAACCCCCACAATGGGCAATGGATCATTCAACATCTAGGGTATTCACTTAACGATTGCTGCAAAAAAAGTGTAAAAATGTTGGTCATATGATGACCCACTTAATGACTGGCATGAGTTACAGCTGTAATTTTAACTTAAGTTGAGGACCATCTGTGTTTGTGTTTGCATTCTTTTCTTCATAAGCTCTGTAGTAGGCAAGGAGAAGAACAGAGCAAGATGGAGTAAGTAATACAGGTAGTCCTGGACTTATCACAATTGAGCCTAGAACCTATGCTGCAAGGAGAGAAATTTGTTCAGTGAGTTTTGTCCCATTTTACCGCCTTGCAATAGTTGTTAAGTGAATCATTGCAGTTGTTAATGTATTAGTAACATAGCTGTCAATTGAATCTGGCTTCCCTACTGATGACCCCAGGACGTTGCAACCATCATAAATATGAACTTGTTGCCATGCATCTGAATATAAATCAGGTGACTACAGGGATGCTGCAACGGTCATAAGTGTGAAAAATGGTCATAAGTCACTTTTTCAATGCTGTTGTAACTTTGAACGGTCGCTAAAGGAATCATTGTAAGTCGAGGACTGCCTGTATTGATGATCTGGATCTGGGCCTCAATAACAGACACCTGTCTGAGGAAAATTGGAATTAAGTCCCTAAAGGTTTAGATACAGGGCAGAGATTTCCTTGATCTGGACAGAATTGTCTTCACTGGCATACCTCTGAAATTGAAAAGATGTTGAATGAGCTATTGACAATGAAGAACAAAAATTGACTTTTCCCCTCACAAGTGCAATGGGCAACCACCTAAGCTGAAGCCACTTTCAGACACAAGTCTTCCACTTCAGTCATCGCTTTTATTTATAGGCAAGACATGCACCACAAGGCGACAATCCTATATTGACACTAACTACATCGGCAATATGGAACCATTCTCCATTAGCATCCAGGATGGGGAAAAATTTGTAAGCTCAATACGTGAGAATTTTCATACCATGTCTTGACTTTTCCAACATTGATGGTATAGTAGAATTCTGAGGATCAGCTACTCATTTGTGTGTTAACAACCAAGAGCTTTCCGCCTGGAAAGCAACAGCAAGACCAATTGAAACAATGTCAAATACTGGAAGGGCTGCCCACAACATACATACAGAGGACATTAAATTTCAGGATTAGATATTATGTGCTTGTTCCATTGTAAGACTCTAGGCCAGGGGTAGGCAACCTTGGCTCTTTTATGACTCGTGGACTTCAATTCCCAGAATTCCTGAGCCAGCCACGCTGAGGGGAAAGGGAGAGGTTTCCAAGCTAAGCCATGCTGGCTCAGGAATTCTGGGAGTTGAAGTCCATGAGTCATAAAAGGGCCAAAGTTGCCTACTCCTGCTCTAGGTAGCCTACTAGATTCTCTGGACATCTCCAATTAAACTGGGATGTTCTTGACACCTTATGATTTCAGTATTTCATCCAGTTATTTGCAGTTATTACAACAGGCCCATTTCCAGTTATTTGCAGTTATTACAACAAGCCTGTTTCCAAGCAAGGATGTAACTCTAAAGTATGTTGGCCAGATGGAAAAAAAATATTGGCGTTAGTTCCGTTCAACACAATTTGGGATTGTTCCCCTTACATCCTTAGTGAAAAGGAGCAGGATTCAGGGAGGCAGAACATTACGTATAGCAGAACATAAATGTGCAGCATGCTGAAGAGACAGATTTGGATTGCTGAAACACCCAGGAGCCTTTTAAAATAAGGAAGGAAGAGGTGTTAACATTGAGACATGCTTTGTCACTTTTGAAATGCCAGAGTCTGCACCATTGAAACCACACGAACCATCGGCTCTCCGTGGTACCTTCAAGTGCAATAGGTAAAATACTAACCTGCATATAGATATAGAATGCAATTTTCCAGAATTTGATCCGGGGGGGGGGAACCCCACCCCTTTCCCCCAGCTTAAGTATGATAACCTTTGAGCAGTCATGCAACTCTCGTGACCAGGATCAATCATGCCTTCCACATGCAAACATATTCCAGTTGGCAAAGCTTGCGTGTTTGATTTAGTTAATGATGCCTGCGCTGGTTTTCCTTCTCTTTCCAAGACCAATCGTTCGGAGAGCTCAGACTGCAAGATATTCAAATCACGGATCTAATCAACAGTCCGATTTCCCCTACGTTCACTCCAAACGAGAACGAAGAACGGAAGACTTTGAAAACCTGCAAGCAGGTTATGATGCGAATAAAAGATGGGAGTTTGTAGCAGACACCCAAGACACAGTCCGTAAGGAAAGTCTCCAGGGCTTGGCCCCTTGGAACTGAACGGGAGGTGGGATTCGCATCCCACCGGCTGACCTCAAAAAGGCTGGGGAACCTTCGGTTGAACGGTACCTCTTGAATCTTCCTTTTGAAAATCCAAAGTATAAATAAGTTCGACATGTTGAGAGCTTCCCTTTGCTGCAATCCCAGAATTGGTAGTTTTCCGTCAGGTTGAATTTTGTGTCAAGTGCCCAATATTTCTCTTTGTGAGAATCTCATCGCTGGCAGGAATGACAGTAAACGGTAAGGAGAATTTTCTCAGCTGCTCCTCTATCTTTCCCCATCCCTTCCTTAGTTCTAGATGCAAATTTTAAGCAGAGGGAGGCAGGAAGAGTTCGCTGAAAGAGGTTATGAGTCTGTAATACGATTTCTCATCGTCTGTCAGTCCTGCGTTGCCCGGCCGGATCACTATAGCCACGTGCATTTCCGCTTCTTCAGCAGCATCTGCTTCTAAAGGACACAAAGCGAGGCTCATTAGAAAGCACTGAACCGTCTACTTCCAGGGTATCACCTGTTCTGCCCACGTACGGAGAGTCCTCGACTTACAACCTCAATTGAGCCCCCAAATTTCTGTGACTAAGCAAGACATTTGTTAAGTGAATTTCGCCCCGTTTCTTGCCACAGTTGTTAAGTGAACTATTGCAGTTGTTAAATTAGTAACACAGTTGTGAAGTGAAATCTGATTTCCCCGTGTCTGAAGGTCACAAAAGGTGATCACAAGACCCTGCGACACTGCAACCGTCATAAATATGAGTCAGTGGCCAAGCATCCGAATTTTGATCACATGACCGTGGGGATGCTGCGACGGTCGTTTAAGTGTGAATCATTTTTTTTTCAGTGCCTCTGTAACTTCAAACAGCCACTACATGAACTGTTGTTAAATTGAGGACTCTCTGTACTTCCCATTTTCTTAGGAGCCACTATAGGTAGTCCTTGCATTTATGATGGGTCGCTTAGCGACCGTTCAAAGTTATGACGGACCACCTCCCAAAAGATACTTATGATCCGGTTCCAAGGTTCTCACGCCCCTCCCCCACGGTCACATGACTGCATTGTGGGTGCTCAGCATCCAGCCTGCATTTATGGCTGTTTACAGTGGCCCGTGGTTATGTGACTGCGATTTCTGGCTTGTTTGCTGAAGTATCTTGGCAAAAGCACCCCATGGCGGACAACAGGTTTCCTTAACACTTGATTCATTCGCTTAATAATTGTGGGTTCATTTACTATCGATGGTGATTCGCTTAACAAACACCTCCCCCAAAAAGTTGTAAAATCAGGTCGGTCACGTGATGATCCACTTTATAACCGTCACAACTTACAATTGTAATGGGCAGGCTCTATTATAGTCATAAGTCAAAGGCTACCTGTAAGGGCTTATCTATACAACTGGGGGGAGGGGGGAAAGCATACAGCAAAAAAATCCCTACATTCAAACCATTTCAGGCAATACTTTGGGGAGGGAAATGCTTAATTTGACAGCCCCATCAGAAACAGAAACAATCATGTTACTCTCACGTTTGCAAGAGAAATTTTTTTAAATGTGAAAATTAATTAAAACAGGGATATTCTCCTCTCTCTCTCTCTCTCTCTCTCTCTCTCTCTCTCTCTCTGCAATTTGAAACCCCAGCAATGTGGAAGTCACACAGCAGACTTGAGTGGATTGCAGTTGCCTTAAAATCTTGAACCCGGACAGATCCAAATTTCCAAATTCCACCTGGTGGTGTCAAACATTAAACCCAATCAGCTTTAGGTCCAAAGCATCTCCTCTACAGCTCTTCCCTAAAGGGGGAATTACATAATAGTTTTTGTAAAACTTTGGTCCACAGTGCTGTTGACCTTCAGGAGATGTGCTCTCATCTTGCCTCTAGCACCAACTAGACATGTATCCTCTCATCACACCAGGGAGCCCCCACCAGCTTTATTACCTTGAGTGACATCCGTCAAGAACAGTATGTTATTTGTGGCACATCCAATGCTTGCAGCAATCCGCTGATAGCTCTCACTGTTAACTTTAGGTCCTATCTTGGTGTCAAAGTGACCATCAAAGAGCTGGAAGCAGAACATTACAGAATAATACAGTTGGAAGGGACGTCCGATGCCTTCTATAGTCCAACCTCCTGCTCAAATAGCAAATCCTACACCATTCCAGACAAATGGTTGTCCAATCTCTTCTTAAAAACCTGACAAGCTGTTCTATTGATTAATTGTTCTAACTGTCAGGAAATTTCTCCTTATTTCTAGATTTGCTCTCTCCTTGATTAGTTTCCATCAATTGCTTCTTGTCCTGCCTTCAGGTGCTTTGGCTATTAGGTTGACCCCCTTCTTTGTGGCAGCCCCTTATATGTTGGAATATTGTTATCATGTCCTTTTTTTCATTAAACTTGACATTTCCAATTCCTGCAACCGTTCTTCAAATCTTTTAGCCTCCAGTCGCCTAATCATCTTTGTTGCTCTTCTCTGCACCCTTTCTAGAGTCTCAACATCTTTTTTACATTGTGGTGACCAAAACTGAATGTCGTATTCCAAGTGTGGCCTTACCAAGACTTTGTAAAGAGGTATTAACATTTCAGGTGATCCTGATTCTATCCCTCTGTTAATGCAGCCTAAGACTGTGTTGGCTTTTTTGCCAGCTGCAGCACACGGCTGGCTCATATTTAAGTGATTGTCCACTAGGACTCCGAGGTCCCTCTCACAGTTACTACTATTGAGCAAGTTACCCCCTATACTATACCTGACCTTTTTAATATTGTGGAGACCCAAACTGGATGCAATATGTATGTATGTATGTATATGTATGTATATATGTATGTACGTACATACGTATGTATGTGTGTAATAAAAATGTAAATGTTCGTTTGTTCAAAATCTTAAATCTCCGAAAGTTCTTCACTGATTGCTTTGAAATTTTGACACAATGTTGCATTCGAATACGCACGTGTTTTTATATACCTATATTATATAGATGTCACACCTGTGACAAGTAAAAACATGCTTTTTTTGAAAAACAGCGCCATCTGTTGGACGTAATCTCTATATCTGCACACATAATGGAACAACAAAAAATACTGTATCCCCACAAGCATTGTGAAATTAAACATATTACAAACATGCGCTTTCTCTTTTCTTTCTTGAGCCACAGCAACGGGTGGCTGGGTACAGCTAGTATGTATATATGTATGTATGTATAGGTGTATATATGTATATATGTATAATTCTTCCTATGTTTTATTCCCACAACAATCCTCTTGCGCTAATCTACATGGGACTCGCCCAGTTTTTATGGCTAAGGACAGACTAGAAACTCGGGATTCCTATGATCCTAATCCAACACCTTAAGCACCACACCACAATAGATGTTTTTGTAATATTACTGTTGTTATAGATGCAGAAAATGCTATTATCTGGCAGGGAAACACTGGAAGACCGTTTATGTGGGCAGTTGGTTCATCTTTTGACTGTACCACCCAAAGGTGCTTTTCCAAAAGGCAACTGGATTTTCTTCTTCTTCTTGTTTTGAAAACATGTTGCTTCTCTTCCATGAAACTTCTTCAGTTCTGATTGAACGGTAGGGAATGGAAGGATTTATATTCTTTGCAGTCATCTGGTCATTAATACTCTGAAATTGAACAGTCCCCTCTCAATCGAGGGGGAGAGATACGGCATCACCTATTTCCTGTGTACAACAAAGTTGTTTCAGCAGTCCCAAGAATGTCCCATACCCATTTACACTCTGATTCAGGGATTTGGAGGATACAGATAAAACCCCAAGTGACCTCAACAACTCTCAAGAGAACCAATGACAGATCTTCAAAGAGCTGGCCAGGTGACTGGAAAGAATATCAGTCCTTCCGCTCCCCACCATTCAATCAGAACTGAAGAAGCTTCTTAGATGAGAAGTGAAATGTTTTCAAGGAAAAAAACACAACAACGGATGCAATATTACAAAAAGAACCTGTAGTTCTTCCTATGTTTTACTCCTGTTAACATCTGGAAAGCTTTGGAAAAGCACCTTTGGGACAATCATGACTTGGATGATTGAGAATCTTCATAGAGATTTAGACTGTATACGTACCTCTAAAATATCACCTTCTGTAGAGTTTCCAAATAAAAGCTTCTGAGCTTCCACACTCCCAGAGGAATAAATATACACCTTTCTTCCTGCTTCTTTCCACTTTTTCACTGCGGGAACAACATCCTTAAAGAACCTGGAGTAGGGAGGGCAAAGTATGGAGGCAGAATTGTTGAAGAGGCAATGAAACTGCTTTCCTATTTTATGACATCACTGGGAGCTTATCCTAATCATGATCTCTAAGCAGCAAACAATAAAAGGACTATTGAAAAGCAATTAAATCATCCGTGGTAAAATCAGATCATCATCAAATATTCAAGGAAAGGCTTGAGCAAAAAGATTGCTTTCCAAAGATGAAGAAAACAGGGCAAGGGGGGTTGTGTCTTGTATAAATGTGGTAAAAGCATTTCAGAGACTAGAACAGGGGTCTTCAAACTTGGCCCTTTTATGACTTGTGGACTTCAACTCCCAGAATTCCTCAGCCAGGCACGTGTGCCTGGCTGAGGAATTCTGAGAGTTGAAGTCCACAAGTCATAAAAGGGCCAAGTTTGAAGACCCCTGGACTAGAGTCATTGTAGAAAATGCTAGTTTTTCTACAGGTAGTCCTCCATTTACAACTACAATTCAGCCCCAAATTTCTGTGGCCAAGCAAGACGGTACTTGAGGTTTGTCCCATTTTACGACCTTTCTCGCCACACCTGTTAAATGAATCACTGCAGTTGTTACGTTAGTAACACGGTGGTGAAGTGAATCTGGCTTCCCCATTGACTTTGCTGGTTAGACAGTCACAAAAGGGGATCATGTGATCCCCCAGGACACTGCAACGTGTCAGCTGGCAAGCAACCAAACTTTGTTCACGTGACTGTGGGGATGTTGCAATGGTCACAAGTGTGAAAGACGGTCGTAAGTCACTTTTTTCAGTACTATCGTAACTTGAAGCGGTTGCCAAAGGAATGATAGTAAGTTGAGTCGAGTTACAAGTTTAATGGCGCCTGCCCATTCCACTCGGAACTCAAAAACTTGTAGAGTGAATCTCCTACCTCAAACAAGATCACTCCCTTCTTGTTAAACCTCATGCAGCTCGTTAAGTGAACATGAGGTATCTCGGAGGGGAAGGCCATGGAGGGCCTAGTAATAGAATAGGCCTCCCTGCCCCACTAAGATACCTCATGCTTCCCCCTCCCTTCCTGTTGCGCCAGACTCACCTGGAAAAGATCCGACTCCTCTCTGCCACGGTTCCTGCTGCCGCCTGGATCCGAGGCCAGCAAATGCTTCCACAGTCCCCACACGGCCCAATCTGGGCTCCGGAGGCCTTTTCCAGGCTGCTGCCACCTGGATTGGGCTGTGGTGGGGGGCATGGAAGCATCCGTTGGCCTTAGATCCGGATTGCAGCGGCCTGGAAAAGGCCTTCAGAGCCCGGATCCGGCCTCCAGAGGCACGCGGAAGCATCCCCGGCTTCAGTTGCAGAGAACAGAAGCCTAAAGTACCATGAGATCACGTGAGATCAGTAGTGTGAGATCTTGCCCCACTGATCCTGCGTTACTCTAGGCCTCCATTCTCTGTGAACGCACCGAAGATCTGGAGCAGCCAAGAAAGCAAAGGATCTTGATCTTCGCAGGGTGAGTATTAAAGGCCTAGTGCCTGGGTAGACTCGGGGAGGGAGGGAATAACCAGGGTGAATGTTGCAGTGCCACTGCAGTTGCTCGTAAGGGCGAACGACTACCATAGTGCTGCAACATTTGTAATTTCAGGACTTGTTCGTTAGTACTAGGGGGCGCTCATCATGTAACTTTGAACGAGCGTTAAGTGAATGCTCGTAACTCGGGGACTACCTGTATTAAATCACCCGCTGATAAAAAGAGCCAAACATTCCATCCCGGCCCCTTTTGATGACATCATATGAGTGCATTACCTCTTTTGATGATGAAAGAAATTATGTATAAAGCAGCCTCAGCCATAAAAGGAGTCTGCCCACCACAAAGAACTACTCACTCTCCCTTTAAGCAGCCATTTTCATAGGCTGCTCTCCACATATGGCCCTGAAACTGTTTCAAAGCTGTGGTCTTCCTATCCAAAGACATCTGCCAGAGGACATTGTCTATCACTGCCTGGATGACCCGTTCAACCTCTTCTTCCCCATCCCTGGTTTCCAGTGGGATAGGCACCACTCCCTCCATATGAGAGTCTTCTTCAGCCTAAGGAAATCAAAACAAAAAGCAAGAAAGGTCATAGCCTAAGGAGATACATCTGGCAGAACCCAGAAGAAGGGTCTTCTCTGTGGTGGTTCCCTCCTTTTGGAATATCTTCTTTTCAGAAATTAGATTAGCCTCCACGCTGACCTTTTCGTAAGGCCCTGAGGATTTGTTTTTTTTTCCAGGGGGTCTGGGGAACCAGAGTGGGATGGTCTCCATCAAATGGCAACAGCACTTAGACATAGACATACACCGCTTCATAGTGCTTTTACAGCCCTCTCTAAACGGTTTACAAAGTCAGCATATTGCCCCCAACAATCTGGGCCCTCACTTTATTGACCTCTGACTGTGTATAGTTGCCTGGGGGTAGGTGGGTGGGTTACTGTTTTTTTTTTGAAATTTTATTTTATATACTGTGTTTTTATTGCTTGCAAGCCACCTAGACTCGCTATGAGTGAATAGGTGGCTATATTAATTTTCTAAATAAATAAATAACATGTCAAGGGTGTTGGGAATTCTAAGTGATGTTTCCAGCAGGAATGCAATGGAGAGCCCTCCCCCCCAAATAGTTCCTGCCTTCCACATAACTTCTTGCTTCTTCTTAGGCTAACAAGCTCACCATTTTTATTTCCTGAGAATGCCAATAGCTACCTTCACCAATCTGGATGTACTCCAGATGTGTGGACTTCAATTCCTGGAATATTTAATATGAACCTTGCTGGTTGAATTCTGGAAGTTGAAGCTCACGTCTGCAGAGGACCAAATTTGGGAAGCACTGGCCTATGCCGGTTCCAGAAGCGTTCAAGCAAATCACAGTAAGACCCAAGGCTGGTGTTTTGCTTTAATTCATGCCTTCTTGCCATGCAAGTAGTTTAAAATTTTTAAAAAAATACTATTAATCTCATTCATCATAAGCCTTATTTTTAACAGTGTGATTACAGAATCGTAAAAAGGCAGGTTTCTGCATTTTTCCTCTATGCCATTTCTGTGCAGGTGTGTATGCAATTTTTACATAGATTTAAAAGGGAAAAAAATGAACCTCCTACTAGACTTGTGTGATTTCCAATACACAACTCACGGTCCAGCCTTGTAACAACTTCCCACTCCTCTGGGAAAAATAAAAATTGTCTCCAGGTGATCAGGTTTTGAAGGGGGGAAAAATATTCTGCCATACCTCATTAATGTATATATTTTGCCAGCAATTTGGCAAGTCAGAATTTATGAGAGTTGGACGTTAGCTAGGAAGTTGGAAGGAAAGAGAAGAAGAGGTCAGCCAATAGCAAGACGGATGGACTGAATTAAAGCAGTAACCAGTGCATCATTTGAAAACCTGAAGGACAATGGAAGAAAATCTATCAAGAGGGCTGGTAAGAGTCCTGCGGGGTGAGGCGAGACAAGGCGAGGCAGGGCAGGGGTGCCATTGTCACAGGGCAAGGTGAGGCAGGGGCCGGGGCGGCTGCTGCCTGACCCCATCAGCCCCCGCAAACAGAGGCCAGTAAGCGCATGGGTGCTGGGACGCATCCGGCCATGTGGGACCTCGGTGAGTTAGCGGGCGGCTGGTTGAAGAGGATGGTTGCCATCTCCGGGGCAAGGCGCACGTGCCCACAGAGAGGGCTCTGAGTGCTGCCTCTGGCACGCGTGCCATAGGTTCGCCACCACTGGTATAAGGTCTCCTGCCTGAGCAGGGGGTTGGACTAGAAGACTTCCAAAGTCCCTTCCAACTCAGTTATTCTGTTGTTTTGTCATTCTGCCAATAACCAGACTGGCATGAAAAGAGCCAGAGTTGTGTTAAGATAGGCAATAAATAAATAATGAAGAAGAGATGTCCAAAGCTCTACCTGTTTTCTCAGTAGGCCAACATCTTGCTGGCACTCTTCTTCTTCCCAGTGGGTGTCTAGATAATCTCGAATATTTTCCCTGATGTAAGGAAACAAAATATCCTGGGGACACAACAAAAACATATCGGTGGTTTAAGTTACTGTGGACATATGTATGGAAACAACATCAAACCCTCAGGGCATCTTCAAAAGCATTGATTATCCAATACTGTTAATTTAGTCACATCACCAAATCTATGCAATCTAATTCTCCGAAGAGAAATTTAAATACAATAGGTAGGAAAATAGTGAAAATACTTGTGAGCACAACGGTGAAAAAGAGACAGAATTATTTCTGAGAGTAAACACATATTACTAAATGCAGGGTTTTTTTTCTTTTTTTTGCAAAGGGGTCAGTCTTTCATTGTTAAAAACAAATCAAGAATCTCTTCGTATTGTGCACACTGTCTAAATATGCGATAACAAATGTGTTAGTTTTTAAAGCTCCTGATTGATTTGGCTGCAAAAGCCCCACAATAATTAATAAATTCAAAACAGGCCCAATGGGAAAAATTTGACATACAGGTTGACTTACAACCACAATTGGGACTTGTTGCTAAGCAAGGCGGTTGTTAAGTGAATCACCACCAATTTTATGATCTTTTTGCCACTGTTAAGCAAATCATTGCAGTTGTTAAATGAATCACGCCGCCATTAAGCGAATCTGGCTTTCCCCATTGACTTTGCTTATTGAAATCCAGCTGGGAAGGTCTGAAATAAATCATGATCTGCTATAAATTACAGGCTGGTTACCTCAAATTCTGATCACCTGATTGTCCAGATGCTATGATTATAAATAGCAAACTGGAGACAAGTAACTTTTTTCAGCGCCGTTGCAACTTTGAACGGTCGCTAAATGAATGGCTGTAAGTCAAGGTATGGCAGTGATGTAAGACAGATTCCTCCGTCATACTTTTTTCTGCTCCAGCAGACCATGTGCCTTTCAATTAGCTGCATAATTAAATGCTGAATCAGCCACTGTAAGTGCTATTCTTAAACATCAAAAAGAGGATAATTTGAGGCACAGCTACATGAGATAGAACTAAATTAAACTAAGATTGATCATGTCTGCTAGATCTTCATGTCCAGGTCTACTGGGCTTGCTAAGTGACCATGATGTGACCTTCATGTTAAATAAGTAACGTATGTTAAGGTTGGCTGCTCGGGCTTGAAAAGCAAATCGTGGGGAAAATTAATTCTATATAAAAAGAGACCTTCTTAAAGTTATTAAGGTCAATTGAAACAAAGCCGAGTTTTATGCAACCAAAAGTGATAACCTCCATCTCTGCTTGACTAATTGTGCTGAAGATCTATTCATGCAGTGGACTGCAGCAAACACTACTTTGGCGGTAGATGTGAGATGTGTTTTTAAGACAACATAGTTTTCGAGGAATGTGATTCACTCCTTATAGTGAGTTACCTTGAAACAAATTCTATACCAATACGCATTCTCATCCAGAAACTCTAGATCAGAGACCCTTGCCTGCTTGTAATACAGCCACAGAATATATAAAATGTAAACAAATAAAAATAAAGGATGTGTGTGTGTGTGTATGTGTATGTGTATGTGTGTGTGTGTGTATATATATATATATATATATATATATATATATATATATATATATATATATATATATATTTTCTCCCACCCAATCAGTTCATACCCCCACTGGCAGTTAAAAGGAAGAAACAGCTAAGACCACACATTGCTGCTCGAAGCACGAAGCTGAAAACACCAGCCTGAAGATGACGAATGGGACTTCGTCGAAACGTCGCCAAGACACTTCCAATTTTACGCAGGAGAAAACCCGAACAACCAAAGACCTACATATATATATATATATATATACACACACACACACACATACATACACACACACACACACACACACACACACACACACACAATTATATATTTTGTATGTGGCCCAAGACAATTCCTCTTCACTCAGTGTGGCCCAGGCAAGCCTAAAGGTTGGATAATGGTGATCTAGATATGGAGTCTTCAAACTTGGCCCTTTTATGACTTGTGGACTTCAACTCCCAGAATTCCTCAGCCAGGCACACTGGCTAAGAAATTCTGGGAGTCCACAAGTCATAAAAGGGCCAAGTTTGAAGACCCCTGATCTAGATGCTTATGCGGAATAGACCTTCTGGAAGGAAAGATGATAAAGACAGATCTCTTCCAATAACTTAAGAGAACAATGGAGCCCCAAATGTTTGCTAAGCGAAACATTAAGCGAATTTTGCCCCGTTTTTCAACCTTCCTTGGCACAGTTGTTAAGCGAATAACCGCAGTTAAGTTAGTAACATGGTTGTTAAGTGAAACCTGGCTTCCCTGTTGACTTTGCTTACCTCGTGGCTTGACTACTGCAACCAGCTCTACATGGGCTGTCCATGAAGACCACCTGGAAGTTTAAACAGATCCAGAATGCAGCAGCGCAGGCAGTAATTGTCATGCCTCAATATGCCCATGTAGCTGCACAAGTTGCCAGTTTGCTTCCAGGTACGGTTGAAGGTGCTGCCTATTAAGCCCTAACATGGCTTAGAGCAGGGGTAGGCAACCTTGGCTCTTTTATGACTCGTGGACTTCAACTCCCAGAATTCCTGAGCCAGCCATGCTGAGGGGAAAGGGAGAGTTTCCAAGCTGAGCCATGCTGGCTCAAGAATTCTGGGAGCTGAAGTCCACGAGTCATAAAAGAGCCAAGGTTGCCTATGCCTGGCCTAGTTACTTGAAGGAACACCTAACTCCAATAGTATCTATTGGACCTGGAGTGTCTTCTCCATAGCAGTACCTCCCCTCACCATTACATAATCTGCATCAATTGTGCCATTGTGCTGCAGTCCATAATTATTTCTTTCATAGTTGTTACTGTGTGACTTTTTTTCCTTAAATGGATGGGGTTACTTCAAGGTGGATTGCAGTACAAAGCATGTGCTAAGTGAAAAGACTACATACTTTGCAGACCCTAGAAAGAAAACAACAGCAGATCCCGGCTTAGAATATTATTGGAAGAAAATCATCCTCTAATCAGAAAGCGGATTCCTAGCTATTATGTCTTCATGTCTTTCCACGGTAACAAGCCCATAGAGGCACTGCAATTTATTGCCCAATAAACTTACACTGGGCTGTTCTGGTACTTGAAAAGTCAATGCGGTTAATGTGTTAGACTGGTATTGGAGAGATCCAGGTTCAAATCCACCCACAGGCATAGAGGGCACTCTCTGTCAGTCCAATTTATCTCTCAGGATTGGTGTTGTGGAAAAAAAATGGGAAGGCAGATATAAAACATAATTTAATCATTTTTTCCATTGAAATGCAACAATATTGCTTTAGAATCTCACTAGGCAGTGAATTGCACTACGGCAGTAGTTCTCAACCTTTTTAATTCTGCGACCCAACCGGTTGTAAGTCGAGGACTACTCAACTGGTGCAGCATCGTTTGCAGAATGAGACTTTTGGAGGGCTCAGCAGGGCAGAGACAGCCTGGACTATTCCTATTGGCTTTTGAAAGCCAATAGAATTAGACTCTATTCAAGAGTCTATTCTATTGGCTTTCAAAAGCCAATAGAATAAAAGGGAGTAGCACAGCTAAGGAAAAGGGGGAAAAAATGGCGGACTGCGTTGTTTGGCGACCCCCTTGAAATGGTCGTTCGACCCCTAATGGGTCCCAATCCACAGGTTGAGAACCACTGCACTAAGGTATCATTTAATAGTGCTTTACTAATGTCTCAGAGTTGGCTGGTTTCACACAACACACTGCATCAAATCATATCCATCTACCCATCCATCTTTTTAGCCCAGCCAAATTTTGCATAGATTAGTATTATAGATTATCAGAAAACATTTGACTGCATAACAAATATGAGATTTAAAAAAGAATCTTTACAGTATATAACACAAAAGTTTTTTTTTTAAAAAAAACATGACTCACATACCGGTAATTCCATCTTCCCTTAAGTTATAGCTACCAAACAGTTAATCATTTACCTAATTTCCTTCCCATGTGAGAATGGCTTTACAGGAAACCTGCACACATTCAACCCAGCACTTTTTAGAAAGAACAGAGTTAAACAATGAATACTGTACTGTCTCCAATTAAAAAACATGATCCTACACCAATCGTTTTTCAACCTTGGCAACTTTAAAATGGGTGGACTTCAACTCCCAGAATTCCCCAGCTAGCAATGACACTGTCCTACACTGTCATTCTCATCCAAACCACAGGAAATAGATACACAGACACAATTTACATCCTGCCTTTTATTTTGTACCACTCAACGCAGCCTACTAATGCTCTTTCCTTTTCAAACAAAAAAACAGCCCTGCAAGGTAGATTGGGCTGAGAGAGAGAGAGAGAGAGAGAGAGAGAGAGGGAGAGAGAGAGAGATTCAAACTAACCCAGCCAGCTTCAGTGCTTAAGAGAAGAATAGACTAGAATAGAGCTGGAAGGGACCTTGGAGGTCTTCTAGTCCAGACCCCTGCTCAAGCAGGAGACCCTATATTATGGAATTCAGAGTCTGCTGGGTTATAGCCCAGCATCTTCACCACTACACTAAACTGGCTGCGCCCTCAACAGGTGTGGGGCAAAATCCTCACGTTTCTCAGGGAAAAAAGGCGGCCAGATTGAAGGACATGCGCACCCAAGAGAAAATACCGACGGACGTTCAGTTTAGGCAGGGCAAAAGGCAGCTTCCCGCGAGAGGAAGACACGGGTTTTGCAATAGCCCCGTCTACACACGACCCCCCCCCCCAAAAAACCCCTTTCCTACCAGCCTGGGAATCGCAACGCAGGCAGCTCACCTTGACAAACGTGATCGGAGTGGTCGTGCCTTCTATGTCGAGCAAAAACACGCTGACTTCCGCGGGGACCGTGAACCCCACCATGTCCCCGGCTGGAAGCTGCCCCGATGTCCGCGAGCCCCGATCTCCCCGGGGGACATACGCGAACCAGGAATCCCGGGGATCGGGGCCGCTGCTCTGCAAAAACCTCCCCGGCAAGCTTGGGAGACGGAGTTCAGACAGACAGCGACGCCGCCACGGTCTTCCGCGAGCACGGGCGGAGGGCGGAGACCCACGTGGCTGGAAGCGGAGCCGCCGCAGCACCCGGATCGCGGCGCTCTGATTGGTGGCCAGAAATGGGGAGGCGGGGGGGGAGAGAAAGTGTATGTATTGGGGGGGGGGGTTGTAATCGCCTATGCGGGCGGAAAGAGAGAAAAAGCTTTGAAGGTTGCAAGTGGGCGGCCGGTGGTTGCAAACCGCGTAACGCTGCACGCTTGCCTAGTTCTTCCTTGGTTTTGTACCTTGGCTCAGTCGCGGTTGAAAGGCTTGCATGCGGCTCCGAGGTGTGCAGGCGGAGGAGCAAAGGGCCTTTTTCCGGCCTAAGGAGGCAGTTACGTAGGATAGGAGTTTATTCCTTCGCGCCCGGGACTGATGCCACGAAAGGAGGCTGCAAAATTCCCGGGCTTTACAGCGGAGTAAAAAAGAAGGCAAGCTGATCCCGGGATTGTTAACGATGATCCCTTGCAGCTGTTAAAAGGGAAGGGGAAATGGGCGTGCAAACGCGATTGGGGCCCTTCGTCGTCTCTCTGCCAGACGACTCCGTGCTCATTTCTCCCCCCCCCCGGGAGAAAAGGGACTCGAAGCGGTTCGAGGAAGGAGTGTTTCCCGAACTCGGTGGAGGTTAAGAACCCGCGCGTGAAGGTGCACGCCCCAAACGACCATGTTGTGTAAGACGAGCGGCCATTTTCCCACCGCGTCTGTGTGTGTGTGTGTGTGTGTGTGTGTGTGTGTGTATGGTGTGTAAAATGGATCAAGCCAGGGGCGAAGGCGTCTGCGTGCTGAGGAGCCGGCGCCCGGTTTCTCGCAGGAAAAGATACGTTATTCAAAGTTGCCCGTGGAACGGCAACGCTTTGCTGGGCTTTGGTGCTGCCCGCTTCCCCAGCGACCGTTTTGCACGGGGGGGCTACGCGATCCGTGGAATTGGCCCTGCGCACTTGGAGAGGGGGGGGTGTCTAGGTTGGGCTAAGAAACCAAATAGCTGACACCAGCCTTTTAGGGGATAAGAACAGGAAGCTGCCTTGCGCATCTTTTAAATCCGGCTTTCCGATTCGTCTTGCAAATCCTCCGAGTCTAAAATGTCTTAAAGCAAACATTTGTCGACGCGCAGGGAGGCTATTTTAAGCTCTAAATCATAATTACCAATGGAGAATCTCTGTTTGGAAGGGTACCTACCTGCTCCAAAGGAAACGGGGAAAAAATGAACCGAATAAGCAAACACCTATTCACAGTTTGACTCCCAGACGTTAAATAAATAAACCACGTTGACTTTGGCAAATGGGGGCATCTAAAGACGTTGCGCCTGCCATTGTGTTGGTAAAAAAAACAGCCCCAGCATTATGGCAGTGAAACCCCCCCCCCAGCATGTTCTTAAATTTCCAAATGTGCCTACAGGTAGTCCTCGACTTAACAAAACCATTCGTTTTAGTGACCGTTTGAAGTTACAGTGGCACTAAAAAAAATGACTGTTCCATACTTACAACCGTTGCAGCATCCCCATAGTTACATGATCCAAATTCGGATACGTTGCAACTGGTTCATATTTAGGATGGTTTCAGTGTCCTGGAGTCATAGAATCACCTTTTGCAATCTTACAAGCAAAACCAATGGGGAAGCCAAATTGACTTTACAATTGTGTTATTCACTTAGCAACTGCAGTGATTCAGTTAACAGCTGTGGCAAAAAAGGTCGTAAAATTCAGCAAAACCTGTCTTGCTTAGCAACAGAAAATTTTGCTTCCATTGTGATTGTAAGTCGAGGACCACCTGTACTGGGGGTAGATTGAAGATCATTTTTTTCCTAGGTATAATCTAACCTTTTTGCCTCTTTTGGAAGTTCCAAAAACATAAGGGCCTTAAAGCGTTGTACCTCTCTTCGTTTTTAGGGATATGGACCAGACATGCCTTAGCTTCATGTATAACCTTTGTAAGTTTAATAAATACATTTGCACCTGCCACTGATGTGATTCAGTTTTTGTAATCGTTAAAAGATCTATCAACAGTTTGGCTAAAAAAAACCGGGTATTGGTGATTTTATTTTTGGATAGCTTCACATATACAATGGAATTTTCTATACCTTTTCTAGACAGTCATCTCCCATCAGAGACCTTCAAAATGTGGGTAAACATTGGCATCCAGGCTTGGCCATGGGGATGATGGGATACAGAAATGGCTATAGACTAGAGGATGCATTTTGCTTCCTCTTTTGTTGTTCAGTTTACTTAAGAAATTTGAGATCCATTAAAACTAATATGTGACCCGCATTCATTTTTATATTTTACTCTGATTTGATTGTTGTGAGAGCTGCCCAAAGTAGTTGATAGTCAACTATGTTGAAGGAAAAGTCTTCATCATGATTCAGTCCAAGCCGGGAATAAACAACATGACGACTGCTTTAGAAAGAAGGTTGCAGTTTATTGGAGAGGAGAGCCAGACAGAAAGATGGGGCTTTTGTTTGGAGTTGTTTCCGGTTTCTGTTTGAGGCTTTGTATTTCCTGTGTCATGTATTCTGACCTGAGTCTGGGTGTGCCCTTTGGCATCTGTGGGTTAATCCTATTATGTCCTGTTTAAAAGTTTGGGTTTAGGTGTCTTTGTCTTCCAAAACTTCGACCTGGGGGCCTCCTGGATTATTTACATCTGCATTTCTACAGAGCTGGTTTCTGCTTGGGGGAGACTTGGGGCTATTAAAAAAACTGGGCATGCTTTTCTGCCTCTTTAAGATCCTTTGAGGAAATACATTTTTCTGCTCTTTTAATATTTCCTTCTCTGGGGGGCTGACTTCCCACAACTACTAGAATATTTTTTTTTAAAAAATAGTATTTTTTTGGGGGGGGAATAATGCTACCATTAATCCATCAAAAGCAGAAGCTGCTTTTGTGTCCACTTATTTTTTAATTTAATAATTGTGTCCAATTATTCTTTTACACTCCTCTATTTAGAGGTGACATTTACTTCTAAATACTCTCTCCAGAAGTATGGATTTTCCATCAGTTTTGTAGGGGGAAAGGGCAATGTGTCACTTTGTCACTTTTCCAAGGAAAACAATTATGTGTGAGACAGCCATCTCCTATTATGGAATATAATGCAGACCAGTTATCTCCTAGGCCAGTGGTTCTCAACCTTTTTAATGCCACGACCCCCAACCGGTCGTAAGTCGAGGACTACTCAACTGGTGCAGCACCGTTTGCAGAATGGGACTTTTGGTGGCTCAGCAGGGCAGAGACAGCCTGGACAATTCCTATTGGCTTTTGAAAGCCGATAGAATTAGACTCTATTCAAGAGAGTCTATTCTATTGGCTTTCAAAAGCCAATAGAATAAAAGGGAGTAGCACAGCTAAGGAAAAGGGGAAAAAAGTGGCGGACTGCGTTGTTTGGCGATCCCCGTGAAATGGTCGTTCAACCCCAAATGGGGTCCCGACCCACAGGTTGAGAACCAATGTCCTAGGCTCTTTGTTATATGTCAGCCAAGTAGAACAGAAATAATTTAAAAGCTATTACACATGTGTAATAAGAGCAGATTAACTTTAGTTTAAATTAATCCATAAACATTAAATCATTTGAAAAAAAATGTTGAATAAAATTATCTTTTAGCACACCTAAAGAGTTCGAAGCAGGTACACAGATATTCAAAGATTTTCATTTTATTATTTGCAAATGCCAGTCAGTATAGATGCAAAATAAACCTTTAATTTTTTTTTGAAATTAGGTGATACATCCTAATATATATTCTAACACTTGGTCTGTGATATTCTTCCTTAGACTTTCAAAATAAGATGTCCTGTCATATGGCCTGCAACTGCAGATGAAACATGCAATCAGTGGTTGTAGTAAAAAAAAACACCCTGGACAATAGAAAATGCATCCTTGAATAAATACTGTAGAAAGTATCTTGTCAAATAATTCCTCCTTGAACCAATAACATAAGAAAATTAACAAGGGTTAGGCAGTTTCTATACCAAACCCCAATAAACAAAACAACTTTGAGACTGCAAGGGCTCCTTCAACAGGGTTTATATTTTTTAAAAAAAAGTGGGAGCAAAAAGAATGCAGAAAGAAAAATGGATAAACCAGATCTGCATTTTTGGACTGGATGCTTCTTAGGAATGAAGGCAAAGCTTAAGGCTAGATGCATCTTCATGCAGAGCCTAATTTAAGAAAAGATTCTAGGGGGGGGGGAATCCTATTATTGAACCGATGGCTGTTCAGCTCCTCTCAATTCAGCCCATCGCAAAGGCCCATTAGACCGGCTTGGTGTTCACAAGTTACGCCGTAAGCACGTGGGGCGGTCGCTGACCCGCTCCTAGGCATGCACATATGCAGCCTGCATGCTTTGGGGAAACTCCTGATGAAAGCCATGCTTCGCCCATGCTTTGTCACATTTGGTGGGTTTGCTTTATGCAACGGAGGCTGGACCAAATTCAGGAAATTATGCTTGGAAAGGGATCGGGATCCATAAAGTTGCAGTTGCAGGGGAAGCGAAGCCTTGCAAAGGCGTGTTGGGCTCCCCGAGACATGAAACCGCTTTCCGCCTCCGCCGCTGCCCTTCCGCCATGGGCAACCCCGAAATTCCTCCACCCGCCGCCGCTTCTTCAGAAGCCGCACTGCGCCTGCGCCGCTGGAGCGCTCTGATTGGTCGAAGGGGTTCCTATATAAACGCAGCGCAGGCTCTGCCCGGATCTCTTGTTACGGCCGCCATTTTAATACTCGGGTCGGACCGCGTATTCAATCTCTTTCCTTGCGTCTGTGCGCGCGCTTTTTTTTTTCTTCCCCTCGGCCCGTTCCCGCTATGGAGGAGAACACCGACTACGGCAGTAGCAATAACAACAATAACACAAGTGCCGGCGGCGGTGGCGGCCAGGAAGATTTCGCCGAAGGCTCTAAGATCAACGCCAGCAAGAACCAGCAGGATGACGGGTACGAGGGGGATCGCAATCAGGAGGAAGGGACAGCTTTGCCAAACGAGTAAGAGGGGGGGAAGAGAGGAAACTGAGACGATAGGTCGGGCGCCATTTTGGCCTGTAAAAAAAAGTAATCGGGGGGGCCCTCAGTAAGGCCTTTCGCCCGGCAGCTGCCACGTGATCGCGCTCTTTACTTGCGAGCGTTGCACCTCCCGCCGCCGTATTTCCCTTTGTGTCTTTTCATACACACACACACACCCGCACTCTCGCGGGAGGGGGGCGGGGCCTCACGTCCGAATGGGTGGAGCAGCGGGGGGGGGTTGGTCGTTCCCGCGTGACGCAACCGGCAGCCTATAGGATCTTAGTGGGCGGACCTGGATGGGGAGGGGGATCCTGAGCGGCTGAGATTGCGCGTTGCTGGGCCCCATCGGGTGGGCGGGGCGAACTCAAAACTTGCAACATTGGAAGCGGGGGAAGGAAGGAGGGCGGAGTTGGCAAGAAGGTACTTTGTGGGCGGGGCGAGGCCGTCGCCGCAAGATCCTGATCGGGCTTCTCTTGGGCCCTGCAGGCGCGCGCTCTCCTCCGGCTTCAGGCCGGCGAAAGTCCTGCGGGGTGAACTGGCCAAGAGCGTGGCTGGCCGAAGGGCCCCTGATACGTTACATTTTTAAGAATGATCGTGGGGTTTGATTCTCATCAGGTGCTTGTATACCACCCTTTCCAAAGTTCAACATTTCAGATCAGGATTCATTTTTACTGTCAGCCACTTGTAGGGGAGCTGTCTGTTTTCTAGATACATTAGATTTATGATTTTGTATCATTCTCAGCTGAGATTCAGTCCAACGCATCTGGATTACATCAGGATGAGAGAAGATTGTCTAAAGCAGTGTCCAAAACTTTTAAAATCTGTGGATTTCAATTCATAGCATGCTGGCTAGGGAATTAAGGGAGCTGAAGGCTACATACGTAATGTTGCAAAGTTTGAGACTGGTCTAGAAGATGATTGGAAGCAAGCATGCCTTTTAAAGTAGTTACAGGTAGTCTTTGACCTATGACCAGAACTGAGCCCAAATTTTCTGTTGCTAAGCAAGACAGATGGGTTTTGCCCCGTTTTACAGCCTTTCTTGCCACAGTTAAGTGAATCAAGGCAGTTAAGTTAATAACTGCAGTTAAGTGAATCTGACTTCTCTATTGCTTGTCAGAAGGTCACAAAAGTTGAACACATGTCCCTGGGGCACTGCAACCATCATAAATACATAGCAGTTGCCATGGGGATGCTTTTTTGTGTGCAAAATAGTCATATTTTTCAGTGCTGTTGTAATAGTTTGAATAGTCAGTAAATGAATGGTTATAAATGGGGGACTGCCTGTATTTGGAGGACTGCAAATAGCAGAAAGTGAGCCATGTGCAGGGCAGAGTATAAACCCTAGGGAGAGAGCTGTTTTGGTGTCTACAGGCTGTGCACAACACTTGGAAGCCATAATGGATCTCAAAGATGTAAAGTACTGTACAGTATTATTAAACATGCAGTATGTTGCTTGGATTGTTATTTTAGGTGCAGATGAAGGATCCTTAACTCCTTGGAGGATACAGTACAACTCTCCTGGGTTTCAGGATGCCCACCTTAGCTGCAGTGTGGGTCTGATGCTTGAGAATTAGATAAGAGATGTCTCCATGATCTGGGGTTAGTTATGTGTGCCCCCTCTGCCAATTCATGATTGGTTGTTGTGAAGATAAAATGAAGCAGTAGTGTGTGTGCAACTTTGACGTTGAGAAGATAATAAAGTAAAAATACAATCAAGGTTATCTAGTTACGCTGAAATTCTATATAGGAAAGAAAGTTTGAAGATAGTGAGCACTGAACTCTGTATCTGGGGTTCCATTTTTCTATGGCAAATCTGATGCCACCATTGTGGCCTATTAGCAAAGTCAGAATCTTACTGGTTATAGCTTATTTATCTCCTGCAAAATTTGTGGTTCCCTTAGTTTTTTTGTAGACACATGTTTTCAGTTATCCAGTTACAGTTATTTGTTTTAATTACATTTAAAAGAAAATGGTTGCTTGAGATCTTCATGAAGAAATGTTGCCACTTTTGTAGAGAACTGTAGTAGTTGAAACCTTCACTTCAAATGCATAAACTTCTTACCTGTGTTTATGGTTAAGGAGAATTTACACAGTGCAATGTAATAATTAAGAAATTGGACTGGCATCAGGAAGATTTGGATTTGCTTATCCAGTGTCTCACAGAATTGCTGTGATACTTCCCCAAAATATCTTTACATTTGGGGTTTGTAACAGTTCATAGGCACAATGCTATATTCTGATTTTATAGAAAGATGTGATTGCCATCTACCTTGGAATAAAATGTATGCAAGTTCTTACTGTTTTTTTAAAGTTATTTCCTTGGAATCTGTTGTATTTCACTGGGTTCTTTCCAACAATATTGAAGTAATCCAGTTACTTTCCTTGATCTCTGATTACATCAGTACTATAGTTTTGTTATTTTATTAAACTGCTTTGGTTCAGGAATTGGCCCACCTTTTTTATTTGTGAAAAAAAATCCCACTGTAATCCATTAACTTTTTCAATAAGCATACTCCAAATTTTGTCTGTGGAGCTGAGATAGCTGGCCATAATTTCAGAATAAATACAGAACTGCTCTTAATTTTTTTAAATAAAAAATCCCCCCTCTTTTTAAAGACTTCCAAATGTTAAAAGTGATATTTTGACATGTATCAGAAGTATGCCTGTGCTGTTCTACTGCATCGTAAGTTTTACCACTCTGTTTTGAAAATGGTGTTTCATGGTTGGATTGGGACTGTTTTAAATTTAGAATGTTTCCAGAATGGCTGAAGTCACTTTCTGTTTTATTCTGCTTTGCTTTTTTGCTTAAGACAGTTGTTTGTGTTCAAAATGTATTGCATACCTAGCATATGTTAATAAACTATTTTGGATTGTTTGACAGTTCACTCCTTTCACCTGGTTTAGGTGATATTGAGGATCATTTTCATATTTTGTAAATGTTGGAGAAGATTAATAACTTCTGCATGACAATTGCATGTTTTGTGGTGGAAAGTAGATGAAGGATGACATTCTGGAGGGTTTTTTTCCCTGCCCCTCATGCTTCAATTAAAAATTGTGTTTCTGGTTCTTCCCCCCCCCCCAGTACAATTTGTATCTGAACCACAAACCTGAATTGGAGCAAATTAGCTAGTAAGATTTTTGTTATTGTGTTAGATCAATGTAACGTATGAATGTCAGTTTTTGAAACCTTGTTTTTTCCATTCCAGTAAAATGTTCATTGGTGGTCTGAGCTGGGATACAAGCAAAAAGGACTTGACAGAGTATTTGTCTCGCTTTGGTGAAGTGGTGGATTGCACAATAAAAACAGATCCTGTCACAGGGAGGTCAAGAGGGTTTGGGTTTGTGCTTTTCAAAGATGCTGCCAGTGTTGAGAAGGTATGTAGTCATCTCTGTGGGACCATGGAATCTTCTCTAAACAATTCCAAACATCTGTGTTGATTTTTACTCCTGGAACTGAATTTTCAATAAATATCTTTTTTTTAGGTCTTGGAATTGAAAGAACACAAACTGGATGGCAAGTTAATAGATCCCAAAAGGGCAAAAGCCCTGAAAGGGAAAGAGCCACCAAAAAAGGTCTTTGTTGGTGGACTGAGTCCAGATACATCTGAAGAACAAATCAAGGAGTATTTTGGCGGTTTTGGAGAGGTACAATCCATTTAAAGCTTTATTTAAATGGCGGAGGGGGAGAGAGTATTATCCAGTATAATGTCTAGTTAAAAACATAGCTTATTGCAATATGCCTAAGTAGTTTTTGCCATTTTCTTTTGACTAACTTGACCCGTATAATGTCTACATCAAGAACAGCAGCCCAAATAGCCTGCAAAAATTGGGAATGAATTTGCACTGAGAAGGATGGGAGGGAATTTGCTTTGTTTTTTGGCCACATCAATGTTGTTTGTAGCAAGATGGTGATTGTTAGGATAGAGATGATATAGTTTTTGGTCTAAAAAGTCCGAACTGGAAAATCAGAGGAGAAATAACATGGAAAGGAATGCAGATATGGCGAGGTGTTAGTGATTATCTTCTAAAAGTTTTTTTTTTGTACAGCCCCTTTAGCGAAGGGGCTAAACTTCATGGAGTTGGCTTAAAACATGTGAACTACAATTACATAAAGTGTATGATACCTTCCAAGCATAAAAAAAGGAAGAAAAAGAGATTGGTTTTAAAAATTGGAGGTCCCATAGGTTGGGTATGGAACTTGGGTTAAGTGAATACATTTTGATTGTTTTAATGTGGCTTTCAGATTGAGAATATAGAACTTCCCATGGACACAAAAACTAATGAAAGGAGAGGCTTCTGCTTCATCACATACTCGGATGAAGAACCAGTAAAGAAATTGTTGGAAAGCAGATACCATCAGATTGGTTCTGGCAAGGTATTATTGGTGGTTGTTACTTGTAGAAGTCGCAATAATTAACTTCATATATTCTTCATATATTTTGTATTAAAGTTACACTCACTTTCTTCTTTGTCCTTAGTGTGAGATCAAAGTAGCACAACCCAAAGATGTATATAGGCAGCAGCAGCAGCAACAAAAGGGAGGCAGAGGTGCCTCATCTGGTGGGCGTGGGGGATCCAGAGGACGTGGCAGGGGTAAGTATATAATAAATTGTAACATAATTGCTGGAGTACATAACTCATGAAATAAAATAATTTAAGAAAATTTCCCTTAGTTTTAGCATGAATGGAAAGTACATTCTACTTTGTTTTATAAAAGGATAGTCAGTGGTGGCGAACCTATAGCATGGATGCCAGAGGCGGCACTCAGAGCCCTCTCTGTGGGTACGCACGCCGTCGCCCCAGTCCTAGGCCTTCAGCTGGGTTTTATAAAACCTTTTCGCTTTAGGCCTCCTCTGCCATGTACAAAAAAAAAAGGTTCAATCAGTCAGTCAATTTCAACTTCTCATGGAAAAAAAAGATCTTGCATAGTTGGAATTGATTGATTGAACTTTTTAGTCCCACCCAGTCTGTTGTTACCTCCGCAGCCACACCCACACAATGGGCCACACCCACCCGGCACCCGATGATGCATAAGTGGGTTTGGGGTTGCAGTTTGGGCACTCGGTCTCTAAAAGGTTCGCCATCACTGGGATAGGTCTAGCATTAAATGAGCTTTGGAATACCAGACTAGAAACTACGTTATAGAAAGGAACAAAGCAAGTACTTAACAGATTTTGTCCTATAGCAACTTCTAGTTTTTATTATTTTTAAACACAGTTAGGCTTAATGCTGCAATCACTTCATTTTTAGGTCAAGGCCAAAATTGGAATCAAGGGTATAACAATTACTATGATCAAGGATATGGAAGTTACAACAGTCCTTACAGTGATCAAAGCTATAGCAGCTATGGGGGATATGATTATTCTGGGTACAATTACCCAGGTTATGGCTACAGCCAGGGATATGCTGACTACAGTGGTAAGATTTTCATTTGACTTTCCATTTAATTATATTGTAAATTTAATTTGCTTTTCTGGTCAGTCTCTCTTTCCAGGAAGAGCTAGTACTGTTGCATATGTTCAAAAGTGTAGGTGCATGCTTTTCAAAAGCATTCTCTGCAGAGTTGAGGATTCTAACAGTTGTATTAGCTTTTCAAAGAAGCATTTGAAAGTTTTTTTAAACACCTTTTTAACTGTTGTTACTTTTAACTGGGGTACGATGTCTCAGCAGTTAAAAGCACTGAGTTTGTCAGCTGGAGAGATGACAGTCCAGGTTTGAGATCTGAGCTCCTCGGGAAGGGATGAGCTTCCATTCCTTGCCCCAGCTCCTGCCCACGTAGCTGTTTGATAGCACGCAAATGCAAGTAGATTAATACTGGGCTTTTCAACCAGTGGTACGGGTACCACCTGTGGTACATTGGCACAGTGGTAGTGGGGGAGGGGAATGAGCTGAACTGGTGGCAGCACCACACAAGCCTCAGCGAGAGATGGCTGGAGCTGCAGGGCTGTCAGGGCTCAGTGGAAGCGCAGGATCAGCGCCAGGCTCCAGCTGGAGCTCGGCGCTGATCCTGGTGCTTCTGCTGAGCCCAGAAGAAGCGCCGATCAGCTGGAATGTTGCAGCATCTCCAGGGTCTTGTGATTTACATTCAGATGCTTGGCAACTGATTCATATTTATGACAGTCACAGTGTCCCAGGGTCATGTGAAGTGATCAAAACCTGCTGCAACCACCCAGCAGATGGGGAGAATAGAAACCAAACACCTCCCACCCCACCCCCGCTGCCAATCCTCAACAGAAATGCTCACAACAATGAAAACCTCGGACAGGAGGAAGAGCGCCACTGGGTGGACAGGTAGGTGTCTTGCTCGGCTATGGCTTGGGGGGGGGCACTTTTCAGTGCCATTGTAACTTGGAAGAGTCAATAAGCAAAATGTTGTAAGTTGAAGACTACCTGTATTTTATCACTTTTTTCCTTTTTGGGGGGATCATCAAATTTTTGACACCTTTCTAGGCGCTTGGTGGTACTTGGATGTTGCTATACCCTAAATGTGGTACAATGGGTGAAAAGGTTGAAAAGCCCTGGATTAATAGTTACCACTTTGATGGGAAGGTAACCGTGCGCCTGTGGCATATTAGTTATGCTGGCAACATGACCATAGAAATGGTCTTCGGACAGTACTGGTTCCCTTGGCCAAGAAACGGAGAGGAGGAACACTGTGCCCTGGAGTTGGACATGACTGACAGGAAAACCTTTACCTTTTTTTTACTTTTAACTATGTTAATTGAACTGTCTAATGTCTTGATTTTGAGTTTATTGTAAATCACTGAGACCAAATAATTTTTTTTTTAAAAAAAGTCAACATTCTGAGTGCTTTTTATAATAATAGTTGATGTCAAAGTTAGGAGTATTACAGACTTTTTTGTGTGTTTAAATAGTAAAATCTAGCTTGACAAGAGTGCTGCAGTTTCTTAACAGTTCTTAAAACTGCCAATATTTTCTCTTGTGATAGGACAGCAAAGCACATATGGAAAGGCATCCCGAGGTGGCGGTAATCACCAAAACAACTACCAGCCATATTAAAAGAAATATTTGGGAAGAAACAGGTGTGTATTGGGTGAATGTATCACCTCTCATATATCTAATCTAATTTAAAGATCAATAGACAAATAAATTTTTAAAAATCACTTCTCTTGGATAGCTTATTTTTTTAAAAAAAATTAAAACGTGTGAATGTCTGTTGAACTTTCTGTTTTAAGTGTCTATAGATCTTTAACTCTGTAAAAGGTGATTCGTCGTCCTTAGTATGTCAGAGAAACATAAGAGTTTTTCTGTTTACATTTTTGTGTGCCAGGTGGTGTAGACGAATAATTAAACTTAATAGAAGTGTTAACCAACAGGTAAAGTACTGAAATGGGTACAACTTAAGCAAAACAAGATTGTTGTCTTCTAACCTCTGACATTATACCTTGTTTGTACCCGCCAGCGGGAACTTCCTTGCAGGCCGTGTGTCACCCTGACCACGTCTATCTCTGGGGGTCGCACGTTGCAGGCAGAGCGCAAGGCATACACCAGAAAACGCTGTCCTGTGGTATGGTCTCTTCCAACTTCATGTACCAGCGTAAAGATTAAAGTGGAAAACTTCAGACTTTGGCTTCTTTTTAAAAAATGAAGATTTAAGTGTCTTAACTTAACTTAAAATGGTTTTTTACAGGAGTTAAAGTGCATAAATGCCTTTACAGCTTAATCATTTTTGGCCTTCTGTTTAGTGTTGTATATCAATTGTGGACCTCATTTTAAGTGTTCGTTCTTTAAGATTTAATGCTTGCTTTTTTTCTTTTATAGCTATGAGTGAAATCTACAAACCAAAACGAACTTTTAAATCTGGGAACTTTAAAGATCATGTGCAGTGAGCAGTTTCTATTTTAACCACCTGGCTAACAATAATTTTCCTTGCTGTATTGCCATTTTCTATTTTCATTAGCGGTTGAAGCTATGAAAGATTCTTTCCACAGCTTGGTTTCTAGTAAACCAAGAACTGCTTTGCTGAGCTTCTACAGTTCTTTGACATAGCTCCATCGTTTGAGCTGAACTGGTCAACCGGGATGTAAAATGTAATTGGGTGATCAAAAGTATTTCATGTTGACAGATGCATATGATCTTTAACGGTGAAGCAAGGAATAAATAGAGGACTTAAAGCAGTTCATGAAAATGGACCTTTTAAAAATTCTTCCAAACGTTTCACACAGGTCTCATAATGATTTTGTCTTGGTTTTATAGGTAGAGACTACAGCAAAGCCATCTTGCAGAACTTAAAGGACTGACTGGAGGGGGTAGTCTTCGTGACATGAAATTGTTTTGTAAAAGACTTTTAGTGTATGACACAGCAGTGTCTAACTGTACATAGTGACTGGCTAGTTTTCTTTATGGTTTTTACTTTTTTGTCCTTTTGTCATCTGTGTTACGATGCCAATGTGGTTCTTGTGTTTATACAATTTTATTTGTATAATTTCTTGTTGAATGACTCAAATAAAAACTTACCTTCTGTGACTGTTGCATTTTGAGGTTGTGCTCTTGGCACTGCTGTATAGTAGCAAGAGGTGAACAGTTTTTGAGACGCCGTTGCCATGCTTCCTACAGATGCTGGGACTTGAAGGTCAGCAGCAACTGGAGTGCCGTGTTACGGATATGTACCTGGACTAGAAAATTGCAGTGAGGAGGCTGCAAACAGAGAATGATTATTCAAAAGAGTAGTATCCTGTGTTGTAACGCCTTATGATTTGTTATAATTTTGTTAACTGCTGGGAATCTTCAGTATAGAAATGTTAATAAATAAATTTTCATGCATTGAAATGACCACTTTGTGATCACATGAAAATAGAGGCAAACACAAACCTGATTTATGTAGCCATCAACTTTGGTAAGATGCTGACTGCTAAATAATTGATTTTTTTTTACAACTTGTACTTGAGAATATATTCTGAATGTACTGCCATCTTTGTTACTTCTAACGCTAAAGATATGCTGATAAAATATGTCTGCAAAACCAGTTTATGAAAGCAGAATAGTGGCTGTTTCTAGATAAATATAAAAGCGGGACAGTTAGGATTGTTTTGAGGATTAAAAATGTTTTCTAAAAGCAGATTATCTGAAAATCGGTGGGCAAACATTTCAGCAAAGAAAAAAATAGAGCCTGAATTATGGAGAAATTATGTTACTTAAAGCATAAGTAACAAAAGGCTTTTACAAAAAAACCCTAATATCAGCTGAATTTGAGCACTTTCCTGAATAGAAAATTTAATATGTTGTCAATCTTGATAACATGTTGTAAGTCTGTAATACAAAAATGTAGCATACTTGGGAAAGTTTGCATATCAACCTAGCATTAAGAATATAAACAGCTTCAAAACTTAACTACCTCATTCAGGCTAATTTTGTCTATAAGCTTAAAGATTTATTTTTATACTTTTTTTAATGTTAGTTTTGCCCAGAAAATGGCAGCAACTGGCTGATGTTGTCTAATCTCTAAAGTTAACTCTGGTTGAACCTGATCAACAGTTTGAAAACCTCTATAGAGTTTAAGGCTTTAACTGGGAAGTAAAGAAAAAGTTAAAGTTATATTTTCATGTTTCAGGAAAGTTCAATAGATGCATTCAAGAAATAAGGAATTGAGCTTGACTCAAAGGGACTTTCATGAGCTGTGATCCATAAAAAGCAAAATTACAAAATGTATTACTGGTTTTATTGAGTTCAGTTTTGCCCATTTGAGATTCAGGTGAGTTTTAGAGTTAATTGAACAATTGGAAGCAAATAACTTTTTAAAAAAGAGTTATGAACTTGATTCTATTTATTCTTGCAGATTAGTTAACTATTCACTTCTATACATGGCTGATTAACTGCAGATAAAGATATTCACGGAATAAAATGGGAAAGGCACAATGTGTTGCTTGTATTTTAAGAATAGAGCAAAGCAAAACTAAGAATTATATATAGTATTTTAAGTATGAATAAAAAATGTCCAGAATATGAGAAGATTTGGCTCATATTTCAAAATTAATCTGGTTTGGAATGAAACGTGGTCAAATTAGAGCCACTGATTACTCATCTGTGATTCCAATGGTTTGATCATTGTTAATTTTTTTTATTAAAATTTGCTGGGAGCTATCATTTGACGCAGAATACTTTTATTTTTATGATGCTCTTTTATCTATTTAAATTAGTTGCTGAAGGACCATTGTGTCTTGGAGACTGGTTGAGAAGGGCATTTAAAGGTTTCCAAAAAGTTTGGACCAGCTTAATTCTGCCTTAACGCTATTCATGGTGAGGGATATGGCAGTGATTTAAAACACCCAAACAAGTTGCAGGATTTTAATCTCTTCAGTTCCCCAGTCTGGGAATTTTATCTGCCTGGCAGTTCACAATATTTTTATTTTTTTAAATTGGAAGCATTGTTTTTGGGTCATCTGCTGTTTTACCCACTCCCCTAGAAGATTGATATACCGAAGCTTCAGCTTTTATCCATTTTCTAGGGGAGTGGGTAAAAGAAGACAGAAACAAAATATAAAATATTATAAAATGTTGTAATGTGGCTGCTTAAGCATCAGTTGAAAAGATAGCTTGTGTTTTGCAGCGCAGGAGTGATTTTCTGGCGCCTTTTCTCTGGAAAATGATTCGAACGCGCAGGCACATAATGGCAGCACTTTTTAGGGCCCCAAATCCTCTATTTTTAATGTCTCGAGGATTCGTGTTTTTCAACCGTGCAACTTTAAAAAAAGATGAGTGCAGTGCAATTCCCAGATTTCCCCACATCCAAGGTCGAGGACCGCCGCAATAGAGAAAGGGGTAAGGAAACCAAAGAGTTGGAAGCGCCAAAACAAAAAAGCCCCAAGGCCGCATTGCTCGCGTGTGGCGCGAAAGAAGCGCCGCTCGAGCAACCTGCCTCTGTGATTGCGCCCGGGGAGGAAATGCGCGCGAGGAAACGGGGCCTTCGCTCACGTGACCGCGCCGTCGCATTCTTCCCGTCAGCCATTTTAGATCGGAGTCAACGAGGCGGCGCCATTAAAGTGCGAGAAAGAAGGAAACGGGGGGGGGGGAGCCTGTTTCTCCCCGTAGCCGGAGGTCCGCTTCTCTCTCCGTGGAACCCAATTTTCCCTTTCGGCGGGCATATATTTCTCTCTTCATTCGAGACCGGCCAGCCGAGTCTCTACAGCGCCCCACCCCCAACACACACACACACTCATGTCGGACGAGCAGTTCGCCGGAGATGAAGCCATGGCTGAGGCTTCGGAAGAGACCGAGCAGCTCGAAGGGATCGTGGCCCCCGGCGGAGACGGCACGGAAGGGGCCGAGGGAGGAGAAGGCGGAGGAGGAGAAGGCGGAGGAGGGGGCGGCGGCGGCGGCTCAGGCGAATCGGAGGGAGCCAAAATCGACGCGAGCAAGAACGAGGAGGATGAAGGGTAAGCGGGCGGCCTCCTTTCCTCCCCTCCCCCCCACCGCTTTCGGTCTCCGCAAGACGCAGGAGGTGAACGGGCGGCCCGAGGAGACGGCGATGGCCTCTTGCAGGAAACGCGCCGTCGCCGCTTCCTCTTCCCTCCTCCGCCCCCCGTAACCCGGCCCTTCTCCCCCTCCCCTTCTCCGAGGGAACCTTGGAAGAAGCCCGCTGAACTCGAGCGGCTGAGGCGCGGGGCGGTCGGGCGTCGCCTGCTGTGGAAGGGTAGAAACTTCCGAAGGGCTTGTCCCAAAGGTGCTTTTTGCAGGACTTTCTTGTTTTACCTTGAAGACTGTTTCGCTTCTCATCCGAGAAGCTTCTTCAGCTCTGACTGGATGGGTGTGTGTGTGTGTGTGTGTGTGATTGGAAGGGTTTATATTCCTTGCAGACAGCTGGTTATATAAATTTTTCCATTCCCCACCACCCAGTCAGAGCTGAAGAAGCATCTTGGATGAGAAGCGAAACGTCTTCAAAGAAAAACAAGGAAGTTCAGTTGCCTCCTGAAAAAAGCACCTTTGGGACAACCAGGACCTGGATGACTGGGAATCTCCATAGATATTCCGAAGGGATTGCTTTGGATCCTTGTTTTAGACAGCCACGTTTGTGACCCACTTCTCCCTCCGCCGTCCTGAGGGAGTGTGGAGGGTGGCAGAACTAGTCGAAATCACACGCTTGTGGTGTGACTTAAAACAACGCCATGCCATTATTACAGATAGTCCTCAGCTTACAACAATTCATTTAGTGACTGTTCAGAGTTACGATAGCTGAAAAGGTAGCAGCATCCCCTTGGTCATGTGATTGAAATTCAGGCATTGACAACTGACTCATATTTTGGATGGTTGCAGTGTCCCAGGTTTATGTGATCACCTTTTGAGACTTTCTGACAAGCAAAGTCAACGGGGAAGCCAGAATCGCTTTACAACCATGTGACTGATTTAACAACTGCAATGATTCAATTAACAGCTGTGGCAAGAAAGATTGTAAAATCAGCCCAAACTCATTTAACAAGTGTCTCGTTTAGCAACATAAATTTTGGGCTCAATTATGGTTGTCAGTCGGTGACTACCTGTATTATTTCATATGCCTTCTCCCATGGCCAGTAACATGTATTTTAAGAATGAAATAGTTGGAAAGAACCTGCAAGATGAAAACTAACAACAGTCCTATTTTGTTGGTGAAGGGCCATGTATGCTGCTACAAAAATGTATTGTCGGAAATAGTGCTAGGTTGTAGCACCAGAGACGTATAGATTTTTTCTTCATTTTGGGATAACAATCTGAAAAGTTTGTTTTAGGCTTGGACATTGAATTTGAATGTCTTTTTAAAGTGAAATGTAGATTAATGAGTACAGGAAAGTAATTGACATTTGCAACCTCATAGACCCTATTGCAGATCCTTTTGATTTTGTGGTTGACATGGTTGGCTATTAAATATCTGGAGAGTACCCAGATATTTGTGAGAAGAAAGGTTTGTGTTTTGTATGCAGTGCGGTATATAGATTTGCTTCCCTAAAGCAGGATTTCAAACTTTTTCAGTTTTAAAAATTGTTAGCAGAATCCTGATCTTTGGTGATAAAAATTGGCTGTGTTTGAGTTATTTTTTTTCCACTTTAGTCTGTTACAACATTAAAGTTGTTGTGGAAAAACCTTTTAATGCAACCAAGACTAGTACATTATTTTAAAAAGCAGTTCAGGTATTACATATGGTTTGCATGTTTTATTTGGAATAGACAGGTCAGTCATGGTGCATCAGTCTTGTAAATACACAGGTTTTTTGGGGGTGTTTGAAAAAATATTTAAATAGTTAAGTAATAAACACATTGATTACCTTAAAGAGGAAGAATCTACTTTTGTTCAATGTGGAACTGTTAACAACATAAAGCAGACCAATATCTTGCTTAGCACATTTGTCACTTGGATATTTTTCCCCAAGTCTTTAACAAACATACAGTTAGTGAAGGTTTGGGAGAGCAGACAACATTGTTTGGCCTCTAGAGCGACAAGGATATGGCTGGAGATGTTATGATATTAGAATAGGTTAGGATATTTTTTTTTTTAAAAAAATTGGGAATGGTTTTTAATAGTTGCAAGATCTTAAGCCTTGCTGAGCCTTAAGATACTAATTTTATCTCTTGGTTTCCTCCTCTCTCTAAGCTGATTTTTTTTTGTCATGAACTTCTGGAAAGCCAGAGGCTCTGGTTTCTCTACTTAAATCCCCAAGCCTTCATCAGAAGTCCCAAATTTTAATTTTGTGGGATGCTTCAGTGGCCACATATAGCTATGTGTCCCTGTTTTACAACATGCATCTAATCATCTGCCTTTAATTCATAGAATCATGGCACTGGAAGGGACCTCAGAGTTCTTCTGGG